AACTTGTTTATTATGGTCCGGTTATTACATTAACGTTAATTTAATCACTACTACACTACTAAATGATCAAAATCATAATTTTGGAACATATCACCTACATTTCAAAACCTTTTATTTGTAGAACTGTAAAACTTAAACATTATGGAAGTAAAACACTTGATGCAGGATAGTGGTTTATTCGAAGCCCAAAAAAACCTTTTTCAAAAAAAAACTAAAATTGTAAAAAACTAGGTGATTTTTTCAAATAGAAGGTTTTCTTCAGTTAATCTAAATTTTTTTATTTTTATTTGCTTACTTCATTATAATTTTCGTTACGCTCCCAAAAATTGTTACTTTACAGACCCATTTAGGTCCCTAAAATAATTCAATAATAATTTACAATCATAAAATACCTATAAGTAGCGAAAATATTTTTCATTTTTTATGTTTATTATTTCATAAATCAAAGAATTTTATTTTTAACAGTTCTTTTATTATGAATAAAAATTTACTTTTAGATTATTAGTACTAAATAACTTTTTAACGTATTTGTTAATAAAACAAAAAAAAATAAAAATTATAGTTGCTGGGGCTGAACCCCAAAAAATAAAAATTTCAAACTAAATTTTTTTGTTTTTTACAAGAATCGTTTCACCTATCCGGGGACACACTTTATATAGTAGTGCTTTTTCTAGTGTAAAATGGGCTGCGACACCCCCACTTCCAAAAAGTGTTGTAATTTAAATACAAGTAGATAAAACAGAATAATTCAATTTAGATAAGAATTTAATAAAATTATTTTAAAACTACAATTTTTCAAATCTTCTGTCATTCCTTCCGTTCAATAATTACCGAGCACTTTACAATATCGCTAATTCGAGCCAATTTTTTAACTTCAATTCGACAAATCAATTTTTGACAAACTGACAAATGTCATAATTATAAAGCCAAATTCAAACAACTAAATTTTATAGAAAAATCATTATTTGATTTCTTCAATTTGTCATATTTATTTTTGTCAACACTATACATTTCACTTTTTTATTTCGTTTTTTAAGAGGTGTTAAGGGGATTCCAAAAATTGTTGTCATTTGAACAAAAATTTAAATGCAATTTCAAAAATACAGTCCTGCCAAAATTTAATGGCTTTTTTAAAATCCACAAAGGAGTCGATATTCTTAGTTTTAATACTTTATAGCAATATTTTATAGGGGCAAAACTTCTTATATCCACCCCAATTTCTACGCCCATTTAAGGCGTTAACCGGGTTACCACTGAATCAATTTATAATTATATCTATCATAGCTGCATACGACCAAAGTGTCACTGTCAATTCCTTTTCCCAAAAAATATGCAAAATGGTTAAATACACGATTGAAGAATACGTAGATACAGGCTGTCCCTACGGTCCGAAAAAGCTCTATAACTTGTTTATTTTAAGAGATATTGACTTTTCTTTTTTTTTAGATTATAGCTGCACTTTCTGAAAATATTGCGGTTTATATACCCATATTAAAAAAACACTAAAGTTATGTTTTTTTAAATGGAATCTACTAAGTTTGATTTTATTTTTGGATTCTATGCTAAATTACAAATAACTCTTATAGAGGTTGTTTTCATTTATCTGTTATCAATTTTCTTTTGTGGTGCTTTTTTTACCAGAATTTTTAAAATGCAGGGGTCTGTCTAAAAATTCGTACCTTCTAAATGCTTGCACACAAATTAAAGTAAGTAACGCCGTTTGATTCCTGAATGTTTGCCGCATCTTTTAAGTGTTTACTCAACAACCTGCTCAGTGGCATGTGCCTACTGCGATTTTTTAAACATGACAAATTAAAAATGTCAAAAACTCATTTTTTTTCAAATGGCACCTACTATTTATTATTGTATGTACCAATCAAAAGATCTTTTGACAAGCTTTCCATCAATATAAGGTTTGTTTAGTCTAGCGTAAAATTCTAAGTTGCTATCCTAAATTAACTAAATTTCGATAAAATTTTCTGTTTTGAACAATAAAAATCGAGTGGGCCTTATGCACAAAAAAAAATTAGCACAGAAAATAAAAAAAAAAGTATAGAATTGGAAATTGGACGAGGCAGTTAAAGTAAACAAAACTCGAATTAAAAATGTCAAGTTTTCTTCGGAAAAAAAACAGCTTGAGTGTAATTCGGTAAGACAATTTAATGAATACGTAAACCCGATGATGCAGACCTACTAGATTCAGACGCTTTCATAAGTTAGGTTCCGTTTTGTCGCTGTTAGGGCAAACTTTTGTCGCTGTCATAGTGACAAAAACACCGCGGCTTTTGGAATTTTTAGTGTTTAGAAAAAAATTGTCATGCTAATAATTATTGCTAATTCAGAAGGATTTTCAGCTGTAATTTTCAATGTGATGAAATGTAGCGTGGTCCATTCACAATTTCTATTCCACGGCCGAATTATCTCCGTTTTTTCTGTAAAGAAGGACCATGTCTGCTTTCTCAGGATTAGATAAAGGTACCATTTTACAAGCGCCAAAATGTGACATTGATGGTTGACAATAACGCAACAATTGTTTTGCACCTTTTTTTGTGTCGTAGTGACGAATTTTACGCGGACATTTACTTAACACCCTGTATAAATATGTATTTTGAATACACTGGCGGACACGGAATTTTGGACATAAAATTTATGTCATTTCAAAAAATGTCAATAATGTAAGTCACGCTTTATTGTCATTATGATTGACGTTTGAATCTAAAATTTGAAAGTTTTAGTTGTTTGACGTCGATTTTCGGAAACACTAATGCCAGCAATACGTGTTTTTATATAAGTTCAATAAATTATTTTGATTTATTGTCATTTTTTCTCTAGCTAGCAGGATAAAAATTACAAAAACCGCAACTGAGGTTAGTTGCCTAAGGTCCGTTTTACATTTTTATGTCACTCGAATGACAAATCGAAATTCCGTGTCTGCCAGTGTATTAATACTTGACAGTTAAACAGGTTCTGATTTTATAGTAACAAACCTTGATTATTTTTTAGTCTTATTCTTTCATATAATTAATTAAGTACCAAGATCAATGTCAATGCGACTATTCCAATTTTATACGATCTTTATTGTTACTACTTATTATTTACTTCTTCACAAAAATTGAAAAATCCAAAATTAAGTACCACGAAAAATATGCTACTTACCTATTTGTTTGTTACATAAAAAAGAGTAATTAAATTAAAATTTATAACTCCTGCTATTATGATTGTTAAAGAAGCCCAATTAAATATATTTTACTGACGTAGTAGAAACTAATAGGTGTCATTTACATAATATTTTCAGATAAATTAATAAAAAACTAGATTAGTCTCTCATTAGCTTAGGTTATTAATTGAGAAAGTATACATACGTTTGAATGAAAATAAGAATCTTGGAATAATTATAAATTCGGAAAGGTTACTTGGCAAACATTATCTACTTCAGAACTAAAAAATATGAATAAAAGGGCTTGCTTCTGGAAAAAAATACCAAGGCCGTCATGTGGTTATTGGCCAGGAATTTCCAAAGACGTAAAACTGGACCGGGTATTCTGGTATAGAATATTATATAGGCTGACCCAGGGGTGCGTGCAAGCTCCATAACTTTTTTCTATCCAAGATTTGTTTTTTTTTTAAATCGATAATGAGACATTCTAAAAATATTTCTAGAATGTCCAAAATCAAATACTAAGCTCAATTCTGCTTTTTTAAATAGAAACCCGATTTTTGTTACATTGTTGGATTTGTCATTAAGTTGTCAATATAACCAGTGCCTTAAACTTATGTATCTGCAACAATTTTTGACTTATGTCAATATATGTGTCAAAATAACGTCGTGCATAGACCCACAGAAAAATTCATAACTTTGGAATCATTCAAGACGACTTAACCAACTGTTTTCCAGTCGATTCTTTAAGTTTTAGGACATTTTTTGAGATAAAGGTGAACTCGAAGTCAAAATTCCATCGCCTACTACATTTTTTTTGCAAATGACAAATTAGAAATGGCAAAAACTTGACTTTTTCAAATACAACAACTAACATTTTAGTGCATCATTGCATGGCACTTTTTATGAGTTTTTTGTCGATATAGTTCCTGGTACCTTACTTTACTTGAAAATTTTCTCTGGGGCGCGAGTTCTGGCGCAGAAAGAAATAAGCTTTTCAAAAATGTCATAAAAAATGAGCCCGAAAATTTATCAGTCGTTTTTGACTAAACCTCTTTGTTTCGGAGATCCTCTATTCGGAACGTAGGTATCTTTAATCAATTTTTATTTTGTAATGAACAGCTATAATAAAGAAAAAATTTCATCAACTCAACGTAATAATTGACTAAAATGCTTTGTCATCCATTTATTTGGTTTGTTTCTGCCGGAAATGACCTAACGGTTTAAATAAGCAATATTTTTACATAATAAAAATTCAGAAGAATCAAAAAATCATCTGATAAGAGAGAAAATTAACTTACAAAATAACATAAACATACTTAAATGTACAGTTAAATATTATAAAAACTATTCATAAAATTTATTGAAATTTGGTATATGCTTAAATATGTAAATTCCACCGCCTCAGATGTTTATCAAACTTCTATCTCCATTTGTTCTGGGGATACAAGGCTAACCTGATTTTTTTTTTAATGGCAAGAAGGGTCAAATTTAATATTTTTAAGAAGAGCATTTTTTTTCTGAGTTCGGTGATGTAACACATGCACACCTTAATGTAATCGAAAATTATCGAACTAATAAAATTTTGAAAAACGTATTTTTTTTTAGCCTTAGAAATATTGTCTTTATCTATCGTTAGCTCTTTGTCGCCTAAACTTGGATAAAAAAATAAATAAACTGTTTCCCAAATTTCAACGTGCTCTGCTAAACCGTTCTGAAAATATTTAGATATATCCATACTTTTTAGCTTCCCTGTGTTTCTCTTTTGTTATAAAAAAATACTCAGAAACCGCATCTGCAGAAAGAGTTTCAAGGTAAACCAAAGTCACTTCACAAACAGTTGTTTAAAAAATAGTCGGGACGACTTTATGTATTTTTAACCAGAACTAGTTCTACGTTTTTAGAGGAGAAACAGATAATAATAACAACAAAATAATTTGTTACATGATAATTGTTATTTAATAAATAAATACATACAAATTAAGATGAATATGGACACCTATAATTTGAATTTGTAGCCACATCGTTGTATAATTTATTTCAAAAAACTTTCTTCTAAAGATGGATACACGGTTAAATCAATATTTACACTGAAACAAGAAAGCGTCAAAAATAATTTCCCACTTGATAAATAACTACCTTCTAAAGGCCTCCATTATTTGCTCAGCTTTTGCAGGAACCGAAACAATCGCAGTCTTAGTTCTTTTAGAGTCGAACAATGCTAACAAATACTTTTTCCCCACATTATTCAATTCTTCTATAGTTACGTTGTGAATGAGATTGAGCAGAGTTCTAGAAGTAACAAATATAATATATTTAAACAAATGCAACTGAACTAACCTATTATAGGTAAAATCAACTTGTTGGAAATAGGAAATGACCGATAATCCAATAACACTTCCTATAGTATTCTCTTTCTCTATCAGTTCAAAAATAAGAGAACTCCTAGCAGAGTCGATTAAATTAGTATCCCACTCTTGGTTATTTATCTGATTTAAAATAATTTCTTTAGCTTCCATATAAGCACCGACTACGTTCGTAGCTCGAGAGAACACTAAATAGAGAAGACCTTCATGAGGCTTAACCATCATAGTGTACCCATAGGCGTACCCTTTGCCTCTTATTTGTCTCCACATGGGGCCCTATAAAACATTTAGCAAATTACAATTGACATAAATTATTTTTATTACCTCCGCTTGTATTAAATACTGCAAGTAAAGCATCAAAGCAGGCAAGTCGGGATCTTCATACGAAGAAATACTGTCAACTGTTTGATGGAAAAAAGCTGATTCTAGACACCCCATACCGATAACACAACCGGTTAAACTCTGCTCCTGTGATGGTTTGATCAATTTTAGATCAGGGATGACATGTAGTCTAACATTTAAATAAAAAAATTATTAACAATTTTTGTAAATAGTCCGGTCAAAATAGACATTTCAAATAACTAAAATTCCGAGCTAAATTTTGGTGGAGATCTTGGGTACACCATTAGGAATAAAGTGTCAAAAGTCCCCATCGATCCCACGTGTGCTAAAAAAGTTATTCGGGGTCAAAGATCAAAATTTGACGTTTTTTAGATTTTTTTGAAAACGGTAAGTTTTATCGAAAAAGTAGCCCAGACAAAAATTATAGATCTTGAAATTATCTACAAAAATGGTCTATACTTTTTTTCTACTTTTTTTTCTTTTTTTCATTCCTGAGATATCGCGATTCTAAAAGTTGAAGGAGTCACGTTCTACATGACATGCACATACAGAGTGCGTCAGAACTCGCGCCCCAAAGACAAATGCCATGTAGGGTAAAAAATTCTATCTATAAAAATTTTAAAGCTATGAGAGTTTAAATTTTGCACTTTGACTCATTTATTTCTGTTGGAAAAATAATTTTCCAAGTTTTTTTGCTACAGGCTATTAGAAGCGGAAACAATGTTATTTGTGGCTTTTATTGACAAAAGTTTTGTACCTTTACTAAATAATTGTAAAAAAACATATACAAAATCATCAGTATTATTAAATAGACATAAAAAAATGTTAAATGTCAAAAAACAAATGTCAAAATTTTTTGACAGTTACAATTTTTTAAACATTTTTTTTATGTTCCTGGTATCTTATAACACTGATGATTTTGTATGTTTTTTTATAATTATTTAGTAAAAGTACAAAAATTTTGTCAATAAAAGCCACAAATAACATTAAACAGAGTTACAGTTTAGGATACAGCTTCCTTGTTTCCGCTTCCAACAGAAATAAATAAGAGTCAAAGTGCAAAATTTAAACTCTCATAACATTCAAATTTTTATAGATAGAATTTTTTTTTAATTTTTTCTATGTTCCTAGTACCTTACCCTACATGGCATTTGTCTTGCGCGAGTTCTGGCGCACTCTGTATGTGCATATCATGTAGAACGTTACTACTTCAACTTTTAGAATCGCGATTTCTCAGGCTTGTCTGGCTACTTTTTTGATAAAACTTACCGTTTTCGAAAAAAATCTAAAAAACGTCAAATTTTGACCTTTGACCCCGAATAACTTTTTTAGCACACATGGGATCGATGGGGACTTTTGACACTTTATTTCTAATGGTGTACACAAAGTCTTCACCAAAATTTAGCTCTGTCGGAATTTTCGTTATTTGACCACCTATTTTTATGACTAATTTGCCCGGATTAAAAAATATATCACCTACTTTTCTTGAATCGGGTTGACATTTGATGGCAAAAATTTGCTCAAAGGTTCGGCGGCGTCAGGAATACAATCTAAATTCCCAATCAAATGCAACACTACATTTTTCGGATCGACAAGAATTTTCCAGATTTTCTCGCACGTGACCAACAAATCGACCGACTTTTCACTCGCTAAAGTTTCACTAGTCTCAGTTAAAAATTTATTTTGCACAAGAATGCCATTGTTGTAAATATTACTGTCTAAAAGAAAAATTTGTTACCGAAAGCGTTTCAATTTTTTTTTTTTTATTTTTACTTTCAACGAAACGCATTCCTCGCATGGCGTAAGCTACGACATTCCGTCCCGATCTTTTCGCCTGTGCTACGGCATTATTCATTTTAGCCGCAATTATTTTCAATCGGTCGACTGAAAAAACAGTGTTGTATAAAATATCGCGTAACCACTCGATCCCTTTTTCGTATTTTGCCACCTCCAGTTGCAACATTACGGAAATTGTATGAGAATAGGGACCGCATTTGAAGAGGCATTTGGAACCAAGACCGATACTTGAACTGAAGGAAACAGTGTCGTTGTTTAATTGTTCGATAACTTCTTCATATGGGATGAGTTTTCCGTTCTTTCTGATGGGAGATTCGAACAAGGATTCCAGCATCAAAGGGAGGTAAATGCGCAGTTCTTGGGGAACGGCTGTGCTATCCAATAACGCATACAACTACAATTGTGATTAATTAAATAAAAAATAGTAAAACGAAAATAACTCACATAAATAAATTCGGATTTGATGTGATCAAAGCAGGTGTAGACGTTAGTGTTTGATAAATCGATTTGTTGTCTATCATCTAAATCAGTTCTGTATCTCTTAATATCATGAAAATTGATAGTTTTGAGACTTGGAATAGGCAGTGATGTTATCATGTCAGCTGGTGGATCTCTACTATTGAACTTAATCGCGTCTTCTAATAATTTTTCCTTTTCTTTTAAACCGTCTTCACCAAGAGAATCAATTTGTTCTTTAATCCGTTTTGCTTCTTCTTCTGCCATTCTCATTTGTTCGTCTTTACTTGGAATGCATTGCACGGCTACGTAATTATTGTCAACTAAATATTTCTTCATCAAAGAAACCCAAAACGATTTAGGTTCTTTCAAAAGTTTGCCTAAATCGACCAAAGGATTGAGTCTTTGTTGAAGCTAAAATATATATTTTTACTTCAAATACAAACTGTTTTTATTTCTTACGTCTTCTTTTGTATTTCCGTATAAAATGTGACCGATTATTATGAAAGCTAAAGTGCTATGTGGGTTATTTTCAATATCACTCAAGTGCTCAAGTTTGTTGCGTTTGATTATACTTTTGATTCGTTCCATATTAATATCTTCTTCATCCACAAGCCTCTTTAATAATTCTTGTAATTTCGGTTTAACTTCTGGTAATTTGTTTAGTGGCACGTCCTCGAACATTATGTAAATGCAAGATTCAGCGTTTTCCAAAAAGTTAAAAGAAATCTAAAATAGCCATGAAATGACTTAAATTTTTGCAAAGTAGCATGAAAGTAGAATTACGAAGACCCGAAGGTCGTTTTGTACTAAAGCCTAATTAAATAAACGAAAAATTGTTTGCCTTGAATTTATGAGATCGTATTTTTTTTTTTCATACAAAATAAACGTGTTCGTAACAAAATTTTATTACAGGTACTAATTACTTAATTATTACTAAATATTCAGGGTGCGCCAGAACTCGCGTCTTAGAGAAAAAAAGGTAAAATACTATAAACATGAAAAAAATGTTTAAAAAATTGTATCTGTCATAAAATTTTGACATTTTACATTTTTTTGTTTATTTAATGATACTGATGATCTTGTATGTGTTTTTTTTATAATTATTTAGTAAAGGTACAAAACTTTTGCCAATAAAAGCTCCAAATAACGTTAAACAAAGTTACAATTTAGGATACAACTTCCTTCTTTCCTATTATAACAGCCTGTAGCAAAAAACTTGGAAAATTATTTTTCCAACAGAAATAAATAATACAAAATTTATTGAAATTTTTATAGATAGAGTTTTTTTACCATTTTTTCCATGTTCCTGGTATCTTACCTTACATTTTTCTCTGGGGCGCGAGTTCTGGCGCAGCCTGTGTAGTTAAAAAATGTCACCATTATTTTATTTTAAATAATCTTCAAAAATTGTAAAATAAAAAATTTATGTGTTTCAAAGAAACCGTATCATCACTTTGGTGTGTTTTTTAAATTTTATTCCCTAGAGAATAAAGAAGCAGATTATTATTCAAAAACGAAGAAATAAAAGTTCACTTTATTCCTGGTTGGGAGGAAAATTTTAAAAATAATAAGTAAACCGTACATTTCGGATTAATACAGCGAAAAAAAAAAAAATAAAAACACATCTGGGTTTTTATTAATGCTTTCTTATGGTCCGATTCTTTTTTCACTGTTTCTTTTCATTGTTTTTGTTTCATTCAAAACTGTAAATTGAGTAAATAAAAAATTTTTTTGGTGCCCTCCTAACTTTTAAACGGTATAAATTGGTATAGAGATAAGTTGGGTTAAATCGCTTTATATTTACCTGGGAAATCGTAGATTACTCTTGGTTCCCATTTTTTTCGTTACACAGTGTATATTACTCCTAAATTTTTTTTATTATTATTTTCATAAAACTTTATCTTGAATTCGTTTTACTCAAGGTTTTCACAAAAAATAGTTGGGTTACCAACTTATGTTTTATTGAGAATTTGCTGTATACAAAGTATGTCAGAACTCGAGCCCCAGAGAATTTTTTTTATAATTATAATTATTTAGAAAAAGTCCAACAATTTTGTCAATAAAAGCTACAAATAACATTAAAGAGATTCAGCAACATTTAGGATACAGCTTCCTTGTTTCGTCTTCTAATAGCCTGTAGCAAAAAACTTGGAAAATTATTTTTCCAACAGAAATAAATAGAGTCAAAGTGCAAAATTTGAAGTTTCATAACTTCGAAATTTTTATATAGATTTTTTTAAACATTTTTTCCATGTTCCTGATATTTTACCTTTCTCTGGGGCGCGAGTTCTGGCGCATCCTGTAGTTAATATTTTTTATTATGCAACATCATTTTTATATTTCATGAATAAAGAAGTTTCCTTTCTTAATAATAGGAACTTTTAAATTTATTATGTATTGGTCTGTCTATTAAACAATCGAACCAGATTTTTCTCTGATTTTTTTGTATTAGGATATACAGGGTGATTCAAAAGTGTCGGACCATTTTTTGGGTGGTGATAAAGGAGATCCAACTGAGTTAAAAGTTCCCATGACAAAAAATTGTTTCAGCCTTTTTTCAAAGGTTAGACTTTGGGTTAAGTTTTTGGCCGTTCAGATCATGTATTCTTAATTTAGTTAGCAAAAACGACAGATCTTGCAACATTGAACAGATGATACGTATTTTTTGTCTTTTGGTATACAAAACATTTAACAACTAGAAAATTCAACAATAAATTAAATCCTACATCACCGAAAAGAAGTAAGATGTCTATATGATAATATGGAAATTGACAGTTCCGTTTTTGTTAAAAAAAGGCTTAAAGAAAAATCTGAATTCATTTTCATGCTCAGTTGGTTTGAATCACCTGTATGTTATGCTTGAAACAATACAAAAAGTCAATATAATTAATTATATTTCCACTTGTTCAGTAGAAAATAAGGATAACTCACGTTGCTGGCGTAAGGATCATCAATTTCAATAAACTCCTTTGGCAAAGTATAAGTGGAAAATTCGGTGAGATACTTGAGAAAAATACACACTGCTGTCAACATATACTGTTCAGTGACAGCCGAAGGCCCCCTCCATCCAATACAAAAAACGCCATTATTCTCTTCATCAGTGGGATATTTGATAATCAAATCCTTTGATTCAAGCAAAGGAGGAACAGGGCTTTGCCATGGTCTCTTAAAATCGCCCCGTTCCCCTTTCATTAGTATTTTACGTTCGAGAGATTCTAAAGCTTTAAAAACTTCCTCATGTTTAATCTGACCTGTGATGATAACTTTCAAATTCTCAGGTCTGTAGAACTCTTTGTGGTAGTTTTTCACTTTTTCATTAGTGGTTGACTCTCTCAGATTTTTCATAATCCCGCCAGTCTCAGAGGAATAGCCGCAACGGCCTGGATACATAGCCCTGGCTAAGTTAACATGAAGTCTGGATTCAGCTGTGTTCTCGCGGCCTTGCATTTCACAATAGACAACACCGGCATCGTCGCCTTGAGGAGTTATGTGGTGAACTTCAGTGATAAAACCTTCCTCCTAAATATTAAAATTAGTATATGAATAATTAGAAACCGAAAATTTATTACACTCAGGATGGGGTATAAAATGTGCTCTAAAAATATGGGCATCAAAGCCAAAAACCCTTCACTCCCAGCAGTCTCCATGGTGTAACAGGTGTGGTCGGTGTCTGTCCAGGCGTTTGTACCAGAGGCCAAACACCGATTTGCAAGCAAATCCAGGACCCCCTTGTAGGGGTACTGCTCACTCCCCAAAAAAATCAAGTGCTCGAGAGTATGCGGCAAGCCATCGTCGTCGAAAGCTTCAGTTGCTACAAAAACACAATCACACAAATTCCAAAAAGACAGTTAATACCTAGACAAAAGTATCCATTAACCACAGGCCCATCAACCTCAACTATGACCACCGTAAGTCCTGTATTTTTCGACCGGTACTCAAACACCGGTACTTTTAAATAAGCGTGCAAACAATTCACCAGTTCGAAGTCTCCGGTGTGGACATGGGGGGTTTTATCCACAGGTGGCATTGTAGAGGTTATGTCTACCATGAATTCGCAAAATCAAATTAAAACTTGTTTATAAAGAACTGTTATCAATAATATATTGCAAAATTTGATTTGTCGACCTTTTCAGAAATGATTATGAGCAGTTTGGAAGAAAAAACTAATTATTTTGATACTTTTTCACAAGTTGCACTCATCACATCATTCAACTGTCAAAAGTGTCAAAAATTAAAAAACGGGTGAGAATTGACAGACATTTAAATTATGCAATTGCGTTGTGTGTTGGTGGTGCAGTTAGGATTTGAATTACTTTTCGTATAAATTCACTGGAAAGGAAGATTTGGCCAAATTTGGGAATTTCAGACTCGAGCGATTCTATCCTCAAAGCAGTTAAAAGTAAGCACATGCCTGCTTGATTCCGTTTATTTTTGTGTACAGTTTAATGAATTAAAAATAGCATTTTAATTATTTTTTCTGATCCAGTCTATTTCCAAACTGCCAACCCCTGACTGTTTCCTTGGCAGATAAACACCCCCATATGCTTGTATCCCAATTGATGTTATTTTGGACAAGTCTAGAGAAACCCCAGAGTCATTGACCAATTTTCCTTCATAATACGGTTTGAAGTCTTGTAGAGAAAGTATCTCTTCTTGAAAATTGTCAGGGGCTTCAAAGAAATTACAGAATGAATAATTATATCTCGCTTCTTTGAGAATAAATTTGTAGCCTTTGAAAGACCCTTGTCCTCTCACTTTGAGTGAAATGCTCCTAAAACCACTTAAATCAAGGGGTATTTGTTTCTGGACGCCTGCAAAAGCAGCCCCACACGGTTGAGGATTAAGCAATGTGAATAAAATTGCTCGTTGGAAATTTACAGTTTTTTGAAGGACTAAGCTCCCTTTTGATTTTCCTACGTCTTGTACAGTATCAGATTGTTCACTCCAATGAGAAATTTCTGTAACATCGTTGAAATTTTCTATGTACTTGCTCCTGTAATAATTTAACGATTAAATTATGTAAATGTTTGAATGCTTACTTCACCCTTTCGTTACGATAACACATAAGTAGAAAAAAATTTTTGAAAATAGAAAAAAATTCCACATTTTGGTGTCGAAAGTTGTGGTAGGTACCCAATTAGCTTCAAAGGAATCGGTAGGTCAATAAACCTGAAAGAATGCAGCGTTTTGAGGGTAATATTTGAGTTATACAACCCTTAATGGTTCCAACACAAAATTCTAAAATGTAGTATCAAAAACATTTATACAGGGTGTTAAAAAAAGATTGTTAAACATTTAAGGAGGTAATAATAGTACGGACCAAAATAAACAAAAAAGTCTTTATAAACATGGCCCGCAAAGTACCGGTTTCGGAGATATCGAATGTGAATATTTTTAGAATTCTTATACTAGAAGCTTCTCTTTTTTGTTTGAATAAATGTTTCAAAAAACGAATAATTTTCGATATTTACGAAACCGTTACTTTGCGGACCCATCTTTATTAGGACTTTTTTGTTTGTTTTGGTCTATACTATATTACCTCCTGAAATATTTTACAATATTTTTTTAACACCCTGTATTTATTTAAAAGCTTAATAAAATATTGGGTATTTTCTAAAAATTGTATATGAAATACAGTTGCATGTTTTCTAATAATAAATTATCTGGGAAATGGAAGCAAGCTTTTATTCGGAATTTTAATTCATCAAATAAATGCGGGCAAAAAGAAAGATTAGAAAACGTGGATAAATTATATTAATTTTTCATGACCTGTACCACAATAAAATTCATCACATTCTTTTTGTGTAAAATAGAATTTTGTAAAATGTAAATTTTCTTGCACGAATGCACATGTAAGCAATGTAAAGACTAAAAATTGAAAAAGTAAATAATCTTGTGAGTGCAATTTGAGGATGATGTTTCTTGAATCTTGCCTGTGTTTTCCCACGGTTAAGAAATTATTTTTTTATTTAATGAAATGTTCCTTGATTGGCATTTATTAAGAAGATTGGCGCAATTATAAAGAATGTTACGTCTAATTCTTGTTACTTCAGAATAAGTATGATTGCATGTACAGGGTGTGTTAGAACTCGCGCCCCAGAGAAAAATTTCAAGAAGATAAATTACCAGGAACATGGAAAAAATTCTATCTGCTCAAAAAATTTTGACATTTGACATTTTTTTATATCTATTTAATGATACTGATGATCTTGTATATGTTTTTTACAATTATTTAGTAAAGGGACAAAAATTTTGCCAATAAAAGCCACAAATAACATTGAATAGAGTTACAATTTAGGATACAGCTTCCTTGTTTCCTTTTCTAATAGCCTGTAGCAAAAAACTTCTCCCAATATTTATTTTGCAATTTAAAACTCTTTTATGGATTGTGGTGTTGGATTTTAAGGTACTTTATTTATTTTGTTAACTATTTATTGACATAAAATGTAAAATAAATATTACTAATATACATATGTTACTAAAACTGAAAATGCAGTGGCGTTTGCAAATTATTAATTTATCATGTATATTTGAATTTTGATTTTGAAATTGGCTTTTCAAACATTATTAATAATGAATATTCAAACAAAATATGCTTTTTATTTTATCACACAATTTTTTTCATTATTTATATTTTCTGGGAAGTTGGAAAGTATCACTAGATTCTCTAGGTCATCAGGTTAAACCATGAGAGAAAAATTTATTTATAATGTTGAGAAACTCGTTTATACAAAGATTAATTTTAATGTTCTTAACGAAGAAAGTGTTTTGATATTTTTTGCGTGTCTCGGTAGAAAACGTGAAATTATCACAATATTCATACCATAGCTGTTTTCATAAATACGGGTTTCTATTTCAGCAAGTTTTTCTTATTTTTTACTGGGTTTGAAATGATCAATGAGATTGTTTAATAATATTTAATTAAAAAAAAAATCATTTTACACAAAAGTATCTATTTTAATTACACAGTAACAAAGTAATTGTCTTAAATTATAAAATATACTTATTTACACTTCTGACAAAATAAAATATGTACAATTGTTTTGAGATCTACAGTAACATAGATACCCTGGCAAAAAGTAAGACATCGAATAACAATTTCTTGACTAGTTTTTGTGTCACACAGTCTAGCGTAAGTGGTGTGAATAAATGAACTAATTTTCTTTTATAAAACATTCATCGAGGAAATTTTCTAATGAGTGGTACAAGTGTGGACGGACTGATGCCAAACCGTGGTCTTCATCGGGATAACTCTAAAAATTAATTCAAATTTGTCACTTAAATTAAACAGAAATTGAACATTTACCAATTGCCTAAATAGAATATCGTTCTGTTCTAACACTCTGGCCCATAACATGGATTGTTGATAATGGACGTTATCATCGTACGTTCCATGGATGAGAAAATACTGCTTGTCGCGAATTCCTTCAGATTTTAATAAAAGATTAGCATTGCGATAGCCCTGGTAGTTGTCTTCGATGGAGGGAAGACCCATGAATCGCTCAGTGTAAATCGAATCTTTTAAAAAAATATATCAACTATTTTGCTTCATTAAATTTGTAAACACAATACCGTAAAGTGTCCAGTCTGTAACAGGCGCAACTGAAATTCCACATTTAAAAACTCCACTATTATCATTGGCTAAAATCATTCCAGAGGCGTATCCTCCATAGCTCCAACCCCAAACTGCCGTTCTTGATTTGTCAACGAAGCCAAAGCTGTCTTGAATTTGCCTTAAATATTGTGTTTTAATTTCCAAACGTTTCAATGAAAACGAGCCACCCCGAATATCTCAGAAACTAAAAAGACTTTGCAAAAGCGCCGAAACAGGTCGATTTTGTTTCCAAGGGGGACATTTTTTGACGTAATTTTTAAAGCACCCTCAATAACCCCTTAACCCCCACGCACCTCAACTTTAAAAATTTAAATGGCACTATCCTACTTGTGGCACATCAAATGAAAACTATTAGCAAGGTTTTCAATTTTTTTTACCAAAATTGAATCAGACCATCCATTCATGAGATACAGGGTATTCTAATAGAAACGAACCATCTTAGAAAAAATTTGCAAAAAAATCCCGAAACAGGTTAATTTTGTTTTTAAAAGGGACATTTTTGTCACAATTTTAGAAGCACCCTTCACTAACCTTTTAACCTCTATGCCACTTAACTCTAAAATGTCAAATAGCACCAACCACTAGTGATACAAAAAATGAAAACACTTTTAAAATATTCTTTAAAAGCTATTTTCCAAAATGAAATGATTTTTATACATTAATAAAATATCGACAAAAACTAATCTTTCAGCAGTCAGTATGTACATCCCGGGGAAAAAAATACCACTTTGGGTTTTTTGCTTTGTTTAGAAGTAATAAAAATAAATATAAAAAACGAAAGAAACTAGCTATTTGTTAATAAAATTAAGTAAATCACAAAAATTTAGTTAAGGTAATGAAATACATGGGCGTGCATTTTTTTGTCTAAAATTTGCTTAGTGTCATTTCGAAAATTATTATAATCACCATTTAATAATCTATAGCCATTGAAGAAATTTTCAGAAAAAACCGTTTTGAAGTGTCCTCGAGTCCGGACCAACTTCCTAAATCAGGGTCTTCCGACATATTCCTGCTCCCCAACTAGTTAGTCGGAAACACTATATCGAGCTATAAAGACCTATGAAGGTCTCAGCTCGTCTCAAAATTAAATAATAATAATAATTTTGCCAATAAAATAAAGAAATAAAAATAAGTTTGTTACAACTTCAATAATACTTACAATAATATTAGTATGTTTCTTGAAATTTATTTTAATAGTTTTTATTAGAAGTAATTACTAATTAGAAACATTATTTTTTGCGAATATCTGAATAGATAATCCCATTTGCTTTAGAAAAGAGGTTAAAAGAACATTTTAAAAACACTTTTATTTGATCTGTCGCAAGTGAGTCGGTGTTATTTGAAACTTCGAAATTGAGGTTGGAAAGGTTAAAGGCTTAGTGGGGGTGCTTTTAAAATTGTGTCAAAAAATGTCTTTTTTAAAAACAAAATTAACCTGTTTTAGAGAGCTTGTTAAAATAGCTTTCATTTGATGTACCACACTAGGATAGTACTATTTAAATTTTTAAAGTTGGGGTGCGTGGGGGTGATTTAAAAATTACAAAAAATGTCCCTCTCGGAAACAAAAACGACCTGTTTAGGCGTTTTTGCAAAGTCTTTTTAGTTTCTGAGAGATTCGGTGTGCTCGTTTTCATTGAAACACCCTGTATAGGGTGCGCAGAAACTCGAGGAAAAAATGTTAAAAAATTCTATCTATAAAAATTTCAAAGTTAGTATAGTTTAAATTTTGTACTTTGATTCGATTTATTTCTGTTAGAAAAATAATTTTCCAAGTTTTTTTGCTACAAGCTGCTGGAAGAGAAAACAAAAAAGCTGTACATATCCTCTGTTTAATGTTATTTGTGCCTTTTATTGTCAAAATTTTGTAAAACATACCAGGTGAATAAAAAGTATGGAACCAAGCGTTTTTTTCGTAAACTAAGCACTTTACGAAAAAAATAATTAGTGTAGCGTAAACTACAATTAAAATGTGCCCATTTATCAAGAATAACATTTTTCGAAATTTCTTTTAGTTTTCGGGTTCTAAATTTTTTTTTTAAATGGCAACCCACCATGGTAATTTTTTTGATTAAAGATTATGATCTAAAAATGACCTCTAATTAAACAGAATTGTTTTTTAGTCAGTACTTTTTTTTTAATAAATTGTTAAAGTTGCGTTCTGAGCCCACCACGAAGATTTTCCGAACTTGAACGAGGGGGTCGTTGCGTGACTTTGATCGTTGGAGAGTCCGGTTTTTTGTGCAGGTGCTTTGGGGTGGTTTCGGATGGATCAAAAAATCTAATACCAAATCATTTTCTTCTATTTTTAGTCCATTTGAAACCACCTCCAAGCACCTGCATAGAAATCAGCACTCTCCCATGATGAAATGCATGAAACAATCACTTCGATTAAGTTCGGAAAATCTTCGTGATGAGCTCGGAACGCAACTTTAACAATTAATTAAAAAAAAAAGTATTGACGAAAAAACAATTTTATTTAATTAGAGGTCATTTTTAGATCATAATCTTTAATTAAAAAAGTTACCACACACACCTGTATTTTACTTTACCTTGTAACATTAATCTGGTCTTCGATTTCAACAGTTCCCAAATGTCTGTAAGATGCAAAAAGCATTTTATCACCCTTGAGACCGGAACTTCGTCCATCGATTGTTGCGTAAATTATACTTTTGTTGGCCGCTAGGTAACTCCCCCAGTCTACGTTGAATTTTTCGACTACTTGGAAGGAATCAGGCCCTGCGTAACTATTACACAAAATTTAAAAAAAAACACCGACAATGAAATGATTCTTTTACACATTAAGCAGCATGGGATATTCGACGTTGGGGTCCATATTCGGAGGCAACTTGAGGATGACTTGCGCTTCGAACCCTCCCGCGACTTTGAAAGTAGCCCGTTGAATGGTCGGCAGTACTTTATCACTTAACAGTTCTTTCAAATCCTTATTATCGTCCCAATCGAGAAGTTTCTTTTCTAACGAGTAAACCGCAATGTCTGGTACGTCAGGCCCTGCGCAAGTTAGCACATAATGCGAAGCATCTTTGCTAAATTCCGCTACATTGTACAAACACTCTTTGTGTTTATTCTTGGATTTGACCTCGCAAGACAGACATTCAGTTTGCTTGCTATCGACGGAAACACCGTACAGGTGTTGGACGGCAGGATCTGTTTCATTGTTTGCTAAGTAAAAGATTTTATTTTGCTCGTGATTCCATCCTAGGATTTCTGTTACGACGAAAGTTCCCTTAGTTAGGGGTTCGCTGGGGGAATTTTTGGTCCGCGACAACATAACAACATGTCTATAACTTCCCAAATCATTGCCTTGATCATGCGAGAGGATGAGCACCAATTTTGAACCGTCTTTTGACCACAAGGGGGCTGTGAAGAGCTCCAACCAACCGGACGGTTGACTTAAGTTACGAATCTGCGGATATTAAACGGCTAGTTTTAACTTGAATGATCAGTATTTAATTAATTTTTGCACGGTAAAAAACTAGAAATTTTAATACCTGTGCCATAACCATCACCACACTGTCAATGTTACAATTGCTAGTTTTTTGAGATGAAACAGGTCAGAAACATTTGATTTCTCTATAAAAGAAGAATCTGTGTTACAACTGAATCCTACTGACAAATTTTGAACCAAAAGATTCCACTATTTCATACAAAAAAAAACATTGTTAAAAGTAATAGATCTGGGGATAAAGGGTGATTTTTTTTAAACTTTTAAACCTGAAAATTCCGAGAGAGGTTAATTTTTATTTACCCCTACTTTCGAATATAATAATATCGAGAGATCAAGATCATTTGTAATCGAGTCATCTTTGGATCCGAAAACGTATGTCTGTTTTTGAACTAACTGCATGTGAAACGTCAAATAAAATGACAAGTTGAAAAGTAAAACGGCAAAATGGGCTGGAATTAGTCGCCGGGAAATGTTCCACCTTTTATAATATTTGGTCAAATAGTTCCAAAGTTATTACAAAAAATCAAATTTCCATACCCACCTTCCGAGGGCTGTAAAATTCTTATCAGTAAAGATAGGACACGAGTTATTATTTAAATTAACATCATTTTATGGGTCATTTTTGAGGTTCAAATATTGCTTCATATTTATGAATAACCCTGTACAAGCTGCGGCCGAACTCGCGCCCCAGAGAAGAATGCCAATAAGGTAAGATACCAGGAACATAGAAAAAATGTTGAAGAAGTTCTATCTATAAAAATTTCGAAGTTATGAGAGTTTAAATTTTGCACTTTGACTATTTATTTCGGTTAGAAAAAAAAATTTCCAAGTTTTTTTGCTACAGACTATTATTAGAAGAGAAAACAAGGAAGCTGTATACTAAATTGTAACGCTGTTTAATGTTATTTGTGGCTTTTATTGGCAAAATTTTTGTACCTTTACTAAATAATTTTCGTATCATTAAATAAACATAAAAAATGTCAAATGTAAAAAAATAAATGTCAAAATCTTTTGACAGATAGAATTTTGTAAACATTGTTTCCATGTTCCCGGTATATTATTTTACTTGAAATTTTTCTCTGGGGCGCGTGTTGTGACACACCCTGTATAATATTTTGCACAGTAAAAAAATTAATTGATAAAAATGAAGCACGCACAGTATTTTATTGTAATGTGTTCAGTATAAAAAGTGCATAGTAAAAAAATCCAGTTTCCACAGTAAAAATAATAAACGTTCAGTAATAATAATAAAATAACATAAAATTTAGGGAACGTATTTATTTTCAGTTTTCGTTACATAAGAATGTATTTATTATTGGTATCTATTATTGTGTTATTGAAGATTTATTATTTTACCGAGTAAATGCAGTCATTTTACTGTGCGTTTATCATTTTCTGTACTAAGCGTATATTTTTCTATGAAACACATTTTCTCTACCGTGCATTTATTATGATCGTCCCGTTTTTTATTTTGTTAATGAGCATCTTTACCATTATTTATCTTTTTCTTCAATTTTTATTCTTTATTGTTTATTTATTGTGTGGACATTATACAGGGACATTTTTTTAACTTTGAAGAAACTAACTTTTAGAAAACACATATCAATCAATCTATTGCTGTCATTCAATGTTAGTTTCAGAATCCTGTCTACAATTTAAGAGCAACGAAATAAAAAATGGTTTATTTAAATGATGACAATGACAAAACAGCAGACAAATTACATGCAGATAAAATATTAAGAACTTCACACTAAAAATTGTTGTAATAGCAAAAAAATTACTGAAAACAATAAATAAAAAAAATCTTAAATTGTTGCTTCGCCCCCTTTTTTGCGAATAAACAGAAGAAAAGTGTAAAGGACAAAATTGTAGAGAATTAAATTTGCACCACATCTTTATCTCCAACAGTTTATGTTTAAATGGCTTCTTGGACACGCCACCACCAGGCGAAATGTTTTCATCACTAAAACATCTATGACTGTCTGCAGAGCAGGTGGTATGGTGTTGCAGACTGTTTTAAAGCGAATTTACTTCTCTACAACTTTGTCCTTTACACTTTCTTTCTATTTTTAATCGTATATGCAGTGTTTTCAAAAAAATGTCGCCAACATGAGGCGAAGCAAAAATTTGTTTTTTTTTTTTTAATTGATGGTTTTAATAAAACTTTTGCTATATCTTTATTTTTTACTGTGAAGTATTTAACGATATTTCTGCCTGTAATTTTTGTCTGTTTTGTCATAAAATAAAAAAATAAATAAAGCAATTTTTTATTTGGTTGCTCTATAATTTATTAAATTATAGACACGATACTGATGAGACTTTCATTGAATTACAGCAATGAATTGATCTGTGTTTTATTAAACTGAACATAGGGCTATGTTCAGGTTTAAAAAATGTCCATGTATGCAGTTTCAGTGGATATTTATTACTTTTACTGCGCAGTTATTATTTTTACATAGCATTGATTATTTTTAATAAGCATCTATTATTTAACTGTACCTTTAGGTACATTATATCTATATTATTAGTTATTACCTATGCCTGCATATTACTGTTTCCTGCTACCCTAACAGAAACTAATTTTTTTTACCATAATTTCAGAAACGAAAGTGGCCAATTACCTCCCAGGGAGGTAAAATTTTTATCTCCCCCATCTGTCATAATTACATAACCTCTCAGGGAAGTAAAAATTGTGTATCTTTTCGATAGAAACGGGAAAAATACTCCTGGATTTAACGCCGATTCTGGGACATCAAGAGAAATTGTTAGTTTTGTTTTCTGGGTTGTAAAAAAAATACATTGGAGCAAAGTGTTTTTTCCTCCCACGGGTGGAACCGCCCACTTTCCTCCTTTATAATTACAACTAACTATTACCGAAGCACAGTTACAGTACAATACCGTGCATTGAAAATATTTAATTTTTGTTACTTACCGTCTCCATTTGGTAAGAATCTGCGGTCATAGTATAAGTAACAATAAAAGCGTTATTTTGAACCCTGTTCATCCAAATGGCGGACACTATGTTGTCTGCAGCCCACGAAACAGTTGTTAAAATTGGCCTAAAACCAAAACTAAGTAGTAAAAAAATAATTGTGAGGATTTTTCGTACTGTTGGGGGCCGACTAAGTCTTTGGGCGGATCTAATTTTTTAATATCAGTCACGTTATTTAAGTCGACGCAGTGCAAGGAAACTGTAGGATTTCGTGTTCCTGTCTAAAATTACAAATGGAAATTAAATGAAAGCAAAAGTGGTAAATAGGTTGCAGACATTTCCGCACAATTTTATTATTTTTTACCACAGTCAAATCCCTACCTTCGGATACTTGATAACTTGTGCCCTTGGATACTGGAAAATCCGATTGCCAGGCTCGCCATAAATCGGCAGTACCATTAATGGGACTTGTGTATCATCAAACCTTCCATAGGCCAACTTAGTACCATCAGGGGAGAACCACAACGCCTTATTAGAGCTAAAAACCTCCTCCTCGTACACCCAGTCGGGAATACCATTATTAACGAAATTGCCATCCTTGGTGATTTGAATCTGTTCATTAGACTCGACTCGCGGTTTATAATAAATGTTATTTTCGAAAACAAATGCTAAAGCGTTTCCTACCGGAGCCCACACAGCTAGTAGAAAATCATGATTATCACCGACTTGCAATTCAGTGCGTTCGTTATTATTCAAGTTAATTATAGTGTATCTTGCTCTATAACTGTGACGGTAAATCTGGAAAAGTGGTGGTTGTGTTAAACTGGCGCAAAAGGATCGCACTTACTTTCTGAAAACCGTGGGCGACTTTCAAGTAGTTTTTATCGGCAGAAATTTCGAAATTGTTTCCTCCTAAAATCTAAAATTTGAATGTAAAAAAAATCGGGTTATTGGATCAAGTACCGAATCTTTGGCCGGCAGAAGAATTTTGGAAGCATTGTCGCGCGAACTTAGGGTATATAGAACCAGATCTCCACTAGCGTCAGTGTAAAGTAGGTCACTATCTGCAATGATTAATTAAAATGTGATTATAACATAATTAATTATTCAACAACTAAATTGTATTACAATCTTCCAACCCTTGAGACGTGGGTTCAAATCCAACTTCTTTATATTAATGAAAATTAAACAATTTTTTTTCGTTGTATTTTTTGAATTGCTACTACAGTGTTAAAATACAGGGTGCACCGGAACTCGCGCCTGAGAGAAAAATGTCAGTTAAGGTAAGATACCAGGAACATGGAAAAAATGTGAAAAAAATTCTATCTATAAAAATTTCGATGTTATGAGAGTTTAAATTTTGCACTTTGACTCTTGTCTCTTGTTGGAAAAATAATTTTCCCAAGTTTTTTTGCTACAGGCTATTAGAAGAGGAAAGAAGGAAGCTGTATCCTAAAGCAACTCTGTTTAATGTTATTTGTGGCTTTTACTGGCAAAATTTTTGTACTTTTACTATACAATTATAAAAAAACATTACAAGATCAGCAATCTCAAAAAATAAATGTCCATTTTTTTTAATTTTTTTTTCGTGTATTTTATCTTACTTCAAATTTTCCTCTGGGGTGCGAGTTCTGACACACTATGAATGTCACCTGAGAGAAAAATATTTTTTAATTGCGATTTTGTGTTTGAGTTCCACACGGAAGACTATTTAACAACTGTCCCTACAAAATACCCTTTCAAAAGAATAAAACTATTGTAAATCTGATACTATTTTGAAAGACATTTTTTATACAGACTGTCCTAGAACAAGCACCACAGAGAAGTAATTTACCAAAAAGTGCAAATGAAGAATTATTTCTGAATTTTTTTGCCGCAACCAACAATACCAATATCACTAACTGCTAAATTAAATATGTTTTCTTTTAAATTAGAAATCAAAGTGAGTTGAAGAGATTGACAGAAAAAGATAACCTATATTTAATCAAAATTCAACAAATAAATTAACAAGTTAAGTTAATGTAAAAGGTGTTCGAAGTGTCTACCATCGGCATCTAAACATACGCCTAGTCGGTTGGTAAACGATAACAAAACATCTCGCATCGTTTGAAAGCTGAGTTTTTTGCTTTAATATCAAATAGACAAGACCAATAAAAGATATCGTGGATACAGTTTTAATTATTTTCAAAATTTGAAATCAAGAAATTGTTGCAATATGTATAATGGATTGCGGCAAAAAAATTCAGAAATAACCCTCTTATGAATAAACCTGTAGTAAGATTTTTAGATCTACAAGTCCCAGAAGGGCATTTGTGCAAAATTATATTGGATGTTAGGTTTCAAAAATAATACCAATCTGCTACCAATTACTCGTAATAAATTATATAAAAATCAAATACACCTACAATGAAATATTTAATATTCGCAAATGTTTCTTTACTTTTGGCCGATAGTGTTAACAAAAAAATGTTGTTTATAATACATACCTAAAACGTTTTTACGGACTCATCTGCTATTCCAGACTCGGCTTCGCCTCGTTCGGAAACAGCAACGATTCGTACTCAAAAACTGTGTTTTAGGTACTTATGATCTAAGGATTACAACTAGCGTGCGATCAAAAAAAAATTAGAGTAGGCGGTAATTAAATTCCCTCAGATGGCAATCCTGATTTTTGACATCAAATGTCATCGGAAACTTTGACAAGTTTGCGTTTTATTCATTTTGAGTGAAATAATGTTCACTTTAGAGCAGAAAATTATTATTGTTGCAAGTTATTACAAAAATGCTGTACAAGACGAAAACGGTGAATGGTCATTTTCACTTTCAGTTTGTGTGGAAAATGTGCAGCCCAGATTCCCAGCCAATGTGTTGCCAACTGTAGAATTTAATCGACGCCTACTCTAATTTATTTTTTTTTGATCGCACGGTATTTAATTAAAAAATAATCATTTTCACATTGACAAAAAAATCGCTTAACTCAAAAACAAAACAAAATTTCGTTCTCAAAATATGGTCTTATTTTTTATATTACTTTAATTTATATTAATTATTATTTTTTGGAGGCAAATAATTAAAAAAACCGCTTGGCTCCATACTTTGTATAAAAAAATGTCAAATGTCAAAAAATAAATCTCAAACATTTTTTGGCAGCTAGAATTTTTTAAACATTTTTTCGTATTCCTGGTATCTTATTTGTTATTTCTAATTGCCGAGTTCTGGGACCCCTGTATTTAAAACTCTTTTGCATGCGAGTCACCCGGTGCTGAATCGGTTTAATAAGGCGTCTAATAAAGTGCCGGAAACGGGCAAAATGGGGCTCGTAAATAACAAACTTGATTTATGTCTAATCTATGTAAAAGTGAAACATGCTAGAAATGCTGTAAATTCTAAAAGCGCATCACCTTTGTCTTATAATCGATCTTGACCTTGTATGTTTACAAATTTAGACCACTAATTATTCAGCCTCATTTGGATGCAATCCAGAAATCCGATAATTTATCATGAAAGTGGTGTTTTGGTGTGAGAAATTTGCATACACAAAAGTGATTAACTTAATATTATCTCACCTGATACCCAAGTGGCGTTGAATGAGTTGGGGTTGACTTTGCCTTGGAGGAGATCTTCTAAAGAAAGAGTTGGTCCTTGAACCGCTGGTTTGTCTTTACCTTTGTCTTCGTCTTCCCCGTTCGTTAGTAAAACTATAGCTGCTACTACTAGTGCTACAACTACCATACATACGACTCCGGCGATAATCCATGTTCGCTTTTTTCGTTTTCCTTTTGTCATTATTAAATCCTGAAAATTGATGTTATTATAAAAAGCCAGTACTATAATTGGCTTAGCAATTCCAGTTAGTAACTTAATAAGGGCAAATTATTAGAGTGCTTTGAAAATTGATCTTTCAGAGGCTTTTATATCATGGTGAAAGCACAAGCGGAAATTTGGAAGATAAGGAGAAATAAAGTAAATTAACAAAACAATGTTTTCTGCATTGTTTATTAACGAAAACGAACCTTGCTCCAATTTTTATAGATGGTATTAGAAGATAATTCCTTTTATAACTTTGTCTAAAACCAACTAAAATAAAGATAAAGTAACCGAATCTTATCGCTAAGGAATTGCTAATAATTCACAAGAAGCTGGTCTTTAATTATTATTCCGAATTTTACAAAAGTCGTATTTTCGTTTTTGCGTGTTACACTACTGTAACTTCCACACACAATGTTTTTTTATGTCTTTCACAGTCAAAAAATGAAAACTTTTATTTATAACATTACAAAATAACCAGTTTACATAAAAGCCTTGTGCTTACTTATTTTCGTCAAATAAAAGGTGATTTTATTACAATTTTGCATATAATTTCTACTACCTTGTTTTTAGAAAATCTGGTTGCAAATTCTTATTTTTCAAATCGAGATTAATTATTGACAAAGCATTTTAATAGTCATTTATGTATCAAGGGAATAAACAACTATTTTAATCTCGAGAATGTAGGATTTTTATTCGAGGGATTAACGATGTTTATTCCAGAGATACATACAAAACTTTCCTCTAAACAGACTAAATTAATAATGACGTTAGAAAATAATAAATGTGTCAAACAATGTTAAATAATTTGTCAAAATATTCATTCAACTTAGTTCATGCAATAGTCATTTTAAGAATAAAAATCAGTATTTATTTATTTTATTCCCGAGGGAATAAAGCATAACTTTATTCCCTGTTAGGAGGAAAACGCTTTTATTAGTTCTACAACTGCAACCTCAAACTTGAAAGTCTGTGATTATGTAACAAAAATAATTCATTTCCAACAATAAGTTGTATTGTTATTTTAGAACAAGTATGTGTCGATTAATATCAATGCTTCTCTTATTACGTCATTCAGCTAATAAATATCCAATAAAGATCTTGGAATGATGGTTTCGTAATCCCATAATTGCTATTGTTTGCGAATGTTTTCCCCCGAGTCGTGAGATTTTGTCGAGGAATTATTATTTTAGAACTTTTGTTTAATTGGGAGTGATTCTAATTGTACTTTGTGTTTGTTTTTCGGAATGAAATTTTTCTGTTTACTCAAGGGGTTAAACCAAATTTCATTCAGTTCCTTTACTTCTTTCGTAACACTAAAGCTACACTTTTACTGAACTACCTACTTTTCGTGTCCCAGAATATTTGCACATTCACATTGTACTTAATAAATATGCACGTCAGTTTGTTTTCTTTTTCTAAATTCTACAAGAACGTCATTAGAAAGTACAAGACTTTCTTTCTCTGTATGCACACTTCATTCGTGGAGTTTAATTGCATCAATAATTATGTAATATCATTAGTGTCGATATACGTAACTTCTTTCGAAACTTTTTGCACAGATTTGTTAGTTATTTTAAGAAAAAAAGTCATTTGCATTAATCTGTTACCTCAAGTGGTAGGTAATATTTTAAATGGTACACCTTCGTGATTTCGCCCAATTTATATATTCTTTACACTGATTAAATCAATTTAATACTGAATCCTAGGTATAAATGTCGCAGAAAAAATATTTTTATTTCAGTTAAGTGTAAAATATAGATAAGGGTTTCTTGGGGTCTGATATATAAATAAAATGTATTTTTAGTTAAAAGATACATCTATCATAATCCTTACAAATTAGAAATCAATATTTGAACACAAACGAGACTCACCTACATTTTTTATTACAGAATTTATGAGATATTTTTTTTTAATTATAAATTTAAATGTTAATTAAAATGTTTTTGCAGCTTTGCGTGAGTAAGTTATGGACTGGATTCTTTAACGGCAAGATTGTTTGGAGAGGTGAATTATAGTTTTATATTTATTTGCAAATTAGATGAAGAATTAAATTATTCGCAACAGTGAAGGAATTTTATCCACATTGGATTAGTTTACAAAATAAAACTTTTGTTCTGTATATTCGCTTACTAAACATAGCATTCCTTTGGGTTATGTCACCAAAAGTTCATACTGTTTTTCTCGTTTAATTAATGATTATTTCACTGAATAAAAATTCGATTTAGCTCACGCCGTTTTTGAATTCATTTAAATTAAATATAATGAGTCCCTGAATTTTTTCTTGTTGCTTGTTAATCAGTATTTATCAGTGATTTCATTGTTGGTGTAGATGGAATTTTAAGATGTATTATAATTGTGTAGAAATAACAATGACGTTGTTATCGGTTTTACTTTAAAAGCAACATAATCTGATTATTTTCCATTTATGTTTTTTGTTATTGCATTGGTCATTATGGGAATTTTACGAGTGGTTGTTAGTTCATAACAATATGTTTTGTTTTTTAATTGAATGTGTTATTAGTATTTAGTATAAATAAACTCATTATAATTATTTTTTTTTGGCACGGTGTATATTTTTAGAAATAATTTACTACCTTTTTAATAATGTTGTCGAGACGATTTAAAAAAGAATAAATAAACTGAGAGAAGTTTTTTCAAACAGTGTGTACCTAGGTAGAACTAAAACTTATTTTAAAATAGCTTAACATTTATTTTTTGAATCAATTATAATTACCAATTAATTCTGGTGCATTTTTGGTGGATGCGCCGGGATTATTAGTAGCCCATTTAAAATTACTTGATTTTAATTAAACCAATGACATGTTTGATGACTTATCAAACTAATTAAATCTTATTGTATTTATTGTGGAAGACTTGAGGGGTTAAAAACAAAAGGATGCGACGTTTAATTAAACTCGAGTGTTAATAATTCATTGGGAACCAGGTTACACCAGGACTTTTCCATTTTTTACAACTTTTGTGAGAAATATGCACATATTTATCAGTGAGAAAATGTAAATTAAACATAAAACGGTCACTAGGTTTTAACATGTTTTTCTAATTAAAATCATTTGAGATTTAGCAATTTTGATTTCTTTAAAAGTACTCACAATTGTGTTTCCAGCAAGTTGTTTTTTTGTTTTTATCTTTCAATTACACTTCACCTTGTTAAATTTTACATACAGTAGCCGCTATCAACTAGCGCAGAATAATTATTATGCTAATTACACTATTGGTTGACCAACTTAACTTAGATAATTGCATATCTGCAGTTTTATATAGTTATTTTCTTAAGTTAAAAAACGAAAGTGGTGCAAGTGCAGATCTTACAGATCTAATTCTTCGTATAACTATGCACATTTTATACTATTTACTATGAAAGTAATATTTGAAGTAATTATTGCGTACGTGTGTTGAATACCGATAACAGTGAGTACTTTTTTGCAAAAGAATAAACAGTTCTCAATAGAAAAGTACGACTTTGAAATGAAATGAAACGTGTTGAAAGAAATGTGAAATGTTAAATATTTAAATCAATTGTTGTACTGAGATAGAATTTGATAATGAGTTGAACGAAAACGGAAACAAATATGAATTCTATTAACACGCATTGTTTTTTCTAAGTGATAAATCACTACATAATAATGAGATCTAATTTAAATGCCGAGATAAATATTCGTGTATTCAATGCGGCGTGTTCATTAAATTAAAAATAACGTTGACAGTTAATGAGGTGTTCTCGACTTTCGGTGAGTTCAAGACTTTAATTGCGATTAATTAACTTAATTTTTCTTAACTTTTCAGACCTGCAACGTAGTATAATTTTTTTGTTAACTACATAAAAGTAATGGAATAATTCATACATATACTTAAATTAAAATTTTTACGTCGTTTTTGTTGCATCAACAATAATTTTTGTAATAATAATTGGTAAAATATTGAGGAAACACTAAAGAAATTAAGAAACCTATTATCGGCTCATCAACAATTTAATGAACATTAAATAGAACAAAGGAAAGTCCCTCAAAAAAAAAAACAACTGAAATATTTTTTTTTACAATTATAACTTGTAAAAGACCGCATTAATTGATGAGGATAGTCCTCATTGAGTTGTATTGGGTGAAATACTTAAATAATTAGAAATTCTTAACTTAACTTTGCTTAGAAAAGAGCTAAACTTCCAATAATCACTAGTAGGAGGATCATCTAGGTTATAACGTTTGTTGAAAGTGAACAAAAAGTATGGACCCAAGTATCATTTGCCTTCAAAAAATTATAATTAATAAAAATTAAAGTGATGTAAAAAGTGTGATCGTTTTGAGAATAAAATTTTGTTGTTTTTGAGTTTTGCGATATCTTTTCTTGAAATTGCCAACTTGAATGGAAATTCTATTCGATAAAAATTGAATACCTAAAGCGTTGATAATTGTAACCCTTAGATTACAAAACAAGTTTTGTAGTGGGTTGCCATTTACAAAAAGGAAAAATTTTGCAGATATCAGACAATAAAAATTGAAAAAAAATATTCTTAGGAAATAGTATTTTATCGTTCATCAATTTTTTTTTCATTAAATAGTTTACGCAACAAACGTTTGGTTCCATATTTTCTGTTCACCTAGTATATGAACTTGTACAGGAAAAAATTACTGATAAGCTTCTTTCAGATTGAGATAATTTAATTTTGAAATAAAAAAAACTTTTATCAATTCACACTTACATTTCGAAAATATAAGACAAATTTTCTTTTTTCAACTCCCAAACACTTCATTATTGTTAGTTTTGTTGTTTCACTCAAGGTTTAGTGTTTTTGTCAGTAGAACGGTTTTACTCCTACTATATGTTGGATATATAAATTTGTAAGTTATGAATTTGATATTTTTTTTTGTTATCTTTCAATTACACTTCACCTTGTTAAGTTTTACATACAGTAGCCGCTATCAACTATCGTAGAATAATTATTATGCTAATTACACTAAACTTAACTTATAGATAATTGCATATTTGCAGTTTTATATAGTTATTTTCTTAAGTTAAAAAACGAAAGTGGTGCAAGTGCACTTACAGATCTAATCCTTCGTATAAGTATGCAATCTTTATATCTACTATTTACTATGAAGTAATTAAAAAAAATAATTCAACTAATTATTGCACCACACGTGTGTTGAATACTGATAACAATGAGTACTTTTTGCAAAAGGATAAACAGTTCTCAACAGAAAACTAAGACTTTCAAATGAAACGTGTTGAAAAAATGTAAAATGTTAATGATAAGCTTTTTCCAGATTGCGATAATTTAATTTTGAACTTTTATCAATTCACACTTACATTTAGAAAATACAACACAATTTTTCTTTTTTCTACTCCCAAACACTTCATTATTGTTAGTTTTGTTGTTTGACTCAAAGTTTAGTATTGTCAATAGAACGGTTTTACTACTTTTTGGACATAAATGTCTAGGTCAAGAATTTGATAAATTTTATGTGTTTTGAGTATTGTAAATTTCCATATTTGTCACGCTTAATTAACACAAATTTTTTGACGATAAGAACCAGCTTTCAAAGAAGTGGACAAAATTAAAAAGGTGAAGTACATATTGATGTAAAAAATACACAGCAGCGAAATTTTGGAGATTTAAACAGAGAAAATAAATAGTTCAATGTTGACAATTTCAGAATACTTGGTGCTAAGAATGTCAATATAAAAAATAATATTGCAACCAGCTCATTAATTCAAGAATAAATCATTATTAAATACGACTTTTTTAGTTTAAATCTAAGATCTCTAATGTAAAACGAGTAGTAGCTTAAAATTAGCGGTTGGGTTACAAAATTCTAATACATCATACACCACGCAAACTGAAACAAATTGCAGAGCATAATACATCCTAATTCATTAATTCAAAGTGATTTTAATAAATATACGGCACTGTCTCTAATTACATGTTGTCCCACATTATTTATAAATCTAAATTGCTTTATAATAACCGTTTTGATATTTTGGATGACAATAATTTTTACAATTGGTATATTAAAAGGATTTAGATGGATTAAAACTTTATAACACTAGGTAACAAAATTAGTCTTTTATACAATTTTATTTTTGCTTTTCGTAAAACGAATTGATGTGTATTTCAGTGGCGCAGCGAAATTACAAAATTCTTGATTGTTTAGAAATTATAGTTGACTTAATATTTTGAATATTTTTGACTATCGGCAATTTTCTCGATAACAATTATGTGACGTAGAACCTTTTTTTTTATATGATAAAAAATTAAATTTGCTTTTCAACCGTACCAAACAAAAAGGACTAATGTCAATAATCCCGAAATTATTAGCAACAAACTGCTCCGGGTACCGAAAATTCGACAAAAATCGAAAAAATTAAAAACTTCAAAATTGAACGATTTGCAGTCTTGGGGGATCAAGAGACAAAAACGTTGTAACTAATTCAAATTCAAAAAGCAAGGGTACGTGTATAAAAAAGCATAAGAGATTTTTTCTATTTTTAGAAACATTTTATGCTATATTTTTACCATCACTGACTGTGAACAGTGTAAAATTGTTATAGACTAACGTATTTCATCGAAACTATTTTCAAGCATACGTCCAAATGACAAAATTTGTAACTGTTAAGTATAATAATTTAATTTAAAAATCGTTCAATAGAAAAAATAGTATAAAAAACATGTGTGATAATGTCTATGTGCCCAAATTTTTTTACATAGCTAACCCCCTCAACTCTATCTCTGGCTGCGCCACTGGTGTATTTTAATTTTCTAATTAAAATAACTTGAAAATGTGAATTTGCACCTGTGTTAATTAAAAGTTTTAAAATTATTGTCGAAAAGAATTTACAATTAGTAATAAACGATTAAATTCTGCGAAGGAAATGGACTTGGTTATCCACAACAAATTTTCCTTGAAAGCCCTTCCTGATAAGTTTATACTTGCATTGTTGGAGCAATTAGTATAATTTAGAGTATTATATCGTGAATACTCTACTTGATCGCACCGGATGGACTCAATAAATTTTTTTAATTGCATAAAGAGCAGCATGTCCAAAAGACTCGACTTTCCACCTTCCGCATAGAATTCTAATTGGTGCCCTAAATATTCTGATTGAGTCGTGGTCAAGGCAGTTTACTAAACATTCCTGACATTACTTTCACTCTAAATGCCATCAAAAGATAAACAAAATAGCCACTTTTGAGCCTTAACCCTTCCGCGTCACTTAATAAATCGTCGCCGACACTGACCATTAAGGCAAGGTCGCAGCCTGATCCTGATGACCCTGTTATTTAATTTAGAATAAAAATAGTAACAGGTGTGTACGAACACTGGTTAGTCCGGTTAACAAAAAAAATTAATTCGGACAATTTAAAACTTATTATTTGGTAAAAAATACCTGATTGCTTTGGGCGATCTCCAAACTTGAACTTCCGTTAGATTGTGCATTTCCGGTCATTTTGTGTTTTCGTGCACGACAGTCTAAACCATCACTCAAACGCCACTAAATTATTTTGCCGTTTTTATGTTCGCAATGTTTTTCATCAGTGAGGAGACCGCGCGGTTCGAATCGTGCGCTCTGTGGCAACTTACTGAGAGAATTATATGAGCAGGTGGGGTATACTCGTCGAAAAAACTTTCCAAGGTAATCACATCAATGTCCAGGTTGTGAATTAATCTTTATCTTTGCAAATGTGTTCCTTGTTTTGGTGTTCTACATAGATATGAATCTACATCAGAATTGGTAGGGTTTCCGGTGACGTTTCGCGGATTTTTCTTATCGCGAAGCGCTATTTGTTATCTTCTAATAATGAATGACTAATGCAGAAGTTGGAAAAATTAAACTCTGTGATGGGACAGTTATGTTAATTAGAACTAAGCATATACCATGCAATTCGTGTAACTTATTGTACCTTCACGTGACTAGAATTAAGTGTTTTAAGTAATACTTACCCGGATATTTAAATAGGACGTCTCATGGTGGTTTCGTACATCGTTAAAAATTTCTTCAGACTCGCTGTACACTTTTATATACTTGTAATCAGGGTAACTTTTATAAACCATATTGGAACGATTCCACTCACATTACTTTCAGTCTTCTCCACATTTTCAATGTTATGCTAGATGCAGTTGAATAAAACTTTCTCCTTTTATACGCTGTTGCCAGATACCATCTCAAATAAATAGTGTTGGAGGTATTTTAGGAGAAATAATGAAAACTACCTATATTCATTTATCTCTGTCGCAATTACTCTAAATAGGTACTAAACAAATAAATAATATTTGAATAAATAATACAAAACGTTGATTTTTGTTACTTGTTTAGGTACGTTATTTCCTTTGGAACATTTCTCTTTTTGTCAAACGCACGTGGTGTAAAAAATTGGGAATACAAACAAATTCTTATTCTTATTGGGAATACAAATACTTATTATTATTGGTTATGGTTTGAGAGCTTTCGTATTCTTTTATGTTATTTTTTTTTTGTTTTGTGTCCTATTGCGAGATGCTATTGGAGTGGCTATTATTGAAACAGTATGATTCTGTTAGGGCCTACATTAAAAACTTTTCAACTTCTAATGCAGATAGGAACCCAAATCGACCAGTCTTAGTTCAATTAAATTATTTTCAAAATGGCTGAACTTCCGGAACTATGAGAAATTGGCGCCAACTTTGAAATTTTAAATGGTAACCACTTATTTTTATTGCATTTTTGAATTCTGCTCTTCAAACTGTGTAAAATGTACTTTAATTATTAGTACTTATTTGTCATAGTTTTTAAAATATATCAATTTTTTGGTCAAAATTTTCATCAGTTTCCAAAGCCTACATGATACCATACAAATTTAAAAAAACTGTAAGAGATGGATATAGGACATGTTGATAAAAGTCCTTCTATAAATCGATGTACTTTCAATTGCCGTTGAGAAAATAGGGTTATTTCAACTTTTCGAACCTTTGGTTATCGAATGCAAAAAAAATATTCACTTATCGCAAAAGGTTCAAGAGCTGTAATGTCCTGAATAAACCCCTACAACTGAAAATTTTGACCAAAAATTTTACATATGTCAAAAACTATGACAGATAAGTACTAACAACTAAGTACATTTTACTTAGTTTAAAGAGGAGAATTCAAAAATGCAATAAAAATAAGTGGTTACCATTTAAAATTTCAAAGTTGGCGCCAATTTCTCGTAGTTTCGGAAATTCAGCCATTTTGAAAATAAGTTAGTTGAACTCAGACTGATCGATCTGGGTTGTGTACAAAATTTCAAATTTCTATCTGCATTAGAAGTTAAAAAGTAGGCCCTAAAAAATGTAAAAAATGTAGGCCCTAAAAGAATCACCTTGTATTTATGAAAGCATTTCTCTAATAAATGGATTTGAAACAAAGCACTTCAATAAAATAGTTATTTTTGTTACCTAACAGTATCGTTACAGATATGTATATGAAAATTATTACAATCAGGGGCGGACTGGCCAGGGGTGCCACAGCACCCCGGGCCCTCCAGTCTTACGGGCCCCCATTTATGGTAGGCTTATTATGTAAAGAGCTCATTGAAATAATATCAATAATTTTAAATTTGTAAACAAACTTGCATAGAGCTAATCCATGAAGTGCTGAATTGCGTTTTTCGCAGAGGCTAAGTTTGAAGGAATTAAAAAATTGCCATTATAACAAATAAAACTATAATTTCAATAATTTTAGCTCAATTTTGTTTATAAGGTCTTACACGCATGTAAGAAAAATTCCACGTGGATTTATACAAATGATTCAAAAATTCGTGTCATAATTTTAATCACGAATACTCCTCTACAAATGAGCATAGATAACACAGTATTCATTCATCCAACTCATCAAGCAATAGAAAATACAGCTTTTATAATCATCAAGAAATAAACAAATGTTCCTTTGTATTTTATGAAATTAACATTAAATGTGACAGCGATGTCATTCGTAGTGGATTGTTTCCAAGGTACGCAAATTTTGATTTTGCAGTGCGTTTTAGAATTTAGTTTAAACTGGAATAACTCGAGAACGGTACATTTGGCGATATGAAACAACTTTTTTTTGTAAAAAAAATTATTGGGCTTTTAATTTTTGTTGTCAAAAACAGAAATTAATAAGCCGAAAAGAAGTTTTGATACAAAAACTGGGAGGACCTATTGCTACCGGAAATGTATAGCTTCTACAAGACTTCCGTTTACACCAAATCAAAGAGTGTCTTTTTGTATTTGTATTGTTGTAATTTTAATAAATTTTTTTTTAGTTATTAGTGGGCATAAATAATGGAAAAATCTAAATATAAGTATAAATTTGGTGCACAGAAACAAATAAAAAACAAAAATTAAAAGCCTCTGAAGACGTTCATCTAAAAACTTTATTTTCGTTTATTAAACCATCACGTCCCAATCTCAATAGAGGAAACAAACTCCTTCAAAAAAAAAATTACTACATTAAGTGACAAGTAGTTTTTATACATATTTTTATTGTATTGTATATTGGGCCCTCATTTCAACTTAGCACCCCATATAAAAATTTGCCAGTCCGCCCCTGATTACAATGTTGATATAAAAATTAATAAAGAGAAAAACTCATTCGACCAATGAAGTGGAGGGAGTTTACTCCCGTTTACGCCCGAGTAAATTACTGTACTCTCACACAAATAAAGATTCCATGACCAGCTCAGGGTCAGATTACACCGGTTGCAACCTAGGGGTGCCAGTAGAATGAAAGAAGAAAAAAAGTTTTTGTAATAAATTAAAAATTATAAAACCACGGGTAAAACAAAAAAATGTAAAAGTAAATCACTATAGTAGTCTTAATTACAACTTTGGTATATCGTATAAATGTCGAGAAAAAATATAAATTAAGTAATACCATTGATTAACCATATTCCATTACCCACAATAGGGTTAATCAATGGGAGTACCCAAATCATAATTTTGAATAAAAATAAAAAGCAAAATGTCTTAGTAAAATGGCAACAGAGAATCAATTTTTGGAAAAATGCTAATGATGGTGGAGAACACTGAGAAGCAGCAAAGTTTTTATTTTTATTCTTAAATTTAATGTTACCTCATTAAAAACTTTCTTAGATGCCCATTAAGACAAGAAAAACTTGTTGAATCTTTTTTTTTTGAGTCTCGTTTTGGTATAAATTAATTCCAATTATACCAGGTGAATAAAAAGTATGGAACCAAACGTTTTTTGCTTAAAGTATTTATTTTTGAAAAACTAATTGATGAATGAAAATATACTATAAAAATCTGATGTTATCAAGAATAAAAATTTTCGATTTTTTTTTGTTCTACAAATTTTTTTATTTTTTTAAATGACAACCCACAATAAACTAATTTTTCTCATGAAGGTTATGATCTAAGAATTACAACTATCTACTTTATATTTATTTTTTTTAATACTTTTTTTACATAAATTGCAATTTTGACAAAAAAAATTGCAAAACTCAAAAACAAAACAAAATTTCGTTCTCAAAATACCATTACAATTTTTTTATATTACTTTAATTTATATTAATTTTTAATTTCTGGAGGCAAATAATTAAAAAAAAAACGCTTGGTTGTAATGGTAAAACTTGTTAGTTCGTAATTTTCTAATTTTTATAAAAAATATGTTAGTAAGAAGTAGAGGCGTCGTCTAAGATTAGCCTAGGGGTTTCCAAAAGTGCTCTGGAGCACTTTTATGAAAATAATTTTATAAAACTAGGAAACATTAACTTGGGTTTTAAATATTGTCGGTAAAATGTGTTTCATATACCGGGTGGGGCATCGGTTACGCGCACTTGATAAATCGCGACTTCAAATTAATTAAAACTGGCGATATTTCATATACCTAACTAATTATAGATAGGGTATAATTTGAAAATTTTTCTATTTTTTTTTGGATAATAAGTGAGTCCGTAACAGTTTTGTGTGTTTTATGAATACTTCCTGTTAATTTACCTATAAAGTTTTTACACTAAATGAATCTGTACCTGTTGGCGCATCAAACTTTAATATCACAATTTCAAATTTTGACTTGGTTAGCCAAATAATCGCTTTTTTTTTATTTAAACACAAACCAGACCCATGATTTATGACAAAATGGAATAATTTGCCAACAAAAGAATCATTTACTGGTAGCCGACCGCTTTGAAAGGTCTTTTTGTTGTAAACCTTGGAATCTTACCCCAAATGCACCCCATTGTCACCTAAATTTACGATGGCATAAGTAGCAGGTCATAAATAAAAATGATTTTCAAAGTTAAGATGGAAAATTGCGTTTAATTCAAAATCTAATTGGTATTTTTTTTTCTCATTTTGTAAAACATTGTAGGAAGTGAATCTGCGTAGGTCAGTATAAAAATTAGAATTAAATTTTTTGGGAGAAAACTATATTTTTTTTTGGCTTTGTTTGTGAATGAAAAATTACCAAAAAATTAGAGAATGTACCTTACTAATGCCCAGGTCAGTGTGAAAAAATTCAACAATTTTATTTAATTAGAAGTGGGGATTTTCTTTTTGGGCGTAACGGATGCCCCACCCGGTATAAAAATTTCCAAAAAAAAATTATTGAATTTTTTTATTGCAAACATATTGTGCGATAAGTGTGTTTATTTTGTGTTTAATATTTTTATGGTAAATTATTATTGTTAGTATGAATAGACCACGTTTATACTTTTTTAATGCAGATGTGTGTAAATATGCTTGTGTATTTTTTGCCATGACATAAAGTGTTATTTTTTATACAGTTTTGATGTAATTGGAACATTCTGAGTAAACATTATATTGAGTAAAAAATAGAATAAGAGATTTTTTATTCAGATAAACATTAGTCACATAAAGTCATAAATGTTGCTACAACACCTTAAGATTTTACAAATTTCGAGTAAAAATGTACACCTTGGGACTTAAATTAATCAAATATACCTCATATACATTAAAACTGGAGAAATACGTCAATTATATAAAGATTAATTCGGTAAAAAAACGATACTTCCAAAAACTTGTTACAAGTCAACGCCTAATAACATAATTCAATTATTGTAACACCCAATAAAAATAACAAACACTTTTCATTATTAAACGAAATCTCATATCCTAATAAGTAACATTTTTAACAACAGAATTACTCTGTTTTCTTTGCTTTACCTTCTCTCCCATTTTGAAATTGTCCCTTCCTCTTTCTACCTTTTCCAAACTTGGCCTTCTCCCTCATTTTTGTAACAGCTTCTGCAGTCTTCTTCAAATATTCCTCCTCTTCACTTCCTTCCAACGCCTTAAGTTTTAACTTTACATCACCAACTTCCAATTCACCATCTGTTAGTTTCTTTAAAAATTCCACAGCGGCATTTTCTGCTGAACATCGAAAGTATCCTTCAAGATCCCCTTTACTGAAGTCCACATATGAAATTGTGACGCTATCATCAACTTCTTTCACCTTTTCTTTAATTTCTTCACGTGTCAGCGACTTGCCTTCAGGGATATTTGAAAAATGAATAGTGGCCCCTTTAGGGTACTCAAGCTGCTTGGCTTTTTCATCAATTCTCGCTTGCTTTTTATCTTTTTTAGATTTGACGCGTTCCTCATACTGTTTTTTCTTCTCAACAAAGTAATCACTCTGCCATTTACGGATCAGTTCAGTGTCTTTATATTTAACACTTTCAAGTTCAATAAATTTCTTGCAGGCGTCCTTGTCCTTGAAAATTATAAAACAAGACCCTTTGAATGTGTGATCTTTATTACACCGGCGATTGCACGAATCTATGGGGCCATACTGATCCATAAAGGTGATTATGTCGTTCAAAGGTTCTTCCAAAGGGAAACCTTTAGCATAGGCTGTAACCAATTCCTATTATTCCACTAAAAACAACAAATTGTATTATTAGCCTACCTGTGCGTTCCACTAACTCCTTTTTTCGAGCATCATTCAATTCTGGCAAAGGCAAATCCGGATTTCTTCGTATTTTCTTCCTGTCTTCACTGAGCTCAACCAAACCATTTTCGGCCTTTTCCACAGCTGCTGCTATCACTTCAGGGTCTTCAGAAAGACTGGCAAGTCTTTTGAAAGTTAATAATACATCAAGAGTTATCCAACCTTCATCTTCTTTCAGTTTTTCTTGCATGAATTTATCACGTGGTAAATTGATGTCTCCAAAGTAATATTCGATTTGCCGAATTATTTTATTATCCAATTCCGACCCCATTGTCTTGCTTTTCAATTTAATAATGCTTTATAAACCTTAAATTATAACAGCACGTGGTCATTTATTAAAACGTGTAGAATTAAACAAATGTTTGACAAGTGAACGATTTATTTGACATCTAAATATTGCCAACAATTCGACGCGTTTTTGTCAAATTCCCTAGAATATTACTTTTATCACAGCCTTTATACTGTTGTTATATTATTATTTCAATTACTTTGGGATACTTATTATTTCTATTTGCAATATCCCAACTGAGGGAAAAAAATAATGCGTGATTTTTTTTTAACGTAAATGAAAATTTTCGGTCAAATGCAAATGCGCGCGCATGTGATGTGTAATTTGAATCTGTCAAAGAAACTTTCGACCTTTTTTGCTGCGTTCTTGTAGCGGACGGGTCGTTTTTAGTTTTCTCAAAAGAAACTACAGCAATCCCTTCAAAATGAGAATTTACAAGGATATTTTTACCGGTAAGTAGTGCTTTTCTCAATTTTCTTGTTAATATTTTTGTAAAATGGTGACGTTTTATGCAAAAATTTAACCTTTAAATATCCATCTGTCAATTTGGTGACACTAGAAATTCCTCTTATTTTACAGTTAATACAAAAAATTCGAGGAATCTGAGATTAATTGGAATGTAATAAGGTTTCCGATATAATTATGAAATACTTTTAGGTGATGAGATGTTCTCTGACACTTACAAAATAAAACTAGTTGATGAAGTCGTTTATGAAGTTTACGGTAAATTAGTCCAACGGAAGGAAGGAGATATCCAGCTGGATGGAGCTAACCCGTCTGCTGAGGATCAAGACGAAGGCACAGACGAAAATGTCCAAACAGGCGTCGACATTGTTTTAAATCATAGATTATGTGAAACCTATGCATTTAGTGATAAGAAGTCATACACCGCGTACCTTAAAGACTACATGAAAAAGTGAGTACATTTCCATTTCCTTCTAGCACGTACTAATACTGGGTGCTTCAATTCAGTGTGGCATTCAGAGCAATTCATGCAAAATTATTGAGGAACTGTATGGTGTGCTTGAGATTGTGTAAGCATGTTATTACAGTGTCTTCAACATTTTATTAAAAAGGAGAATATTGTTAATTTGGTGTTTGTTTCCAGATTGGTAGCTAAATTGGAAGAGAAATCTCCTGACCAAGTAGAAGTGTTCAAGACCAACATGAACAAAGTGATGAAGGACATTTTGGGGAGGTTTAAAGAGCTCCAATTTTTCACTGGAGAATCCATGGAGATTGATGGAATGGTTGGATTGATGGAATATAGAGAAATTGATGGGAATTCTGTACCAGTAATGATGTTTTTCAAACATGGCCTGGAAGAAGAGAAATTTTAGTTTTGTTTAATTTTTTTTTTTTGTTATATACCATTTTATTTATATTCCATTGAGATTGTCTTCAGATTTTAACATGATTCAAACAATGATTTGCTTTCGAAATTCTAACTGTAAAAGGAATCCTTTGTGAGGGAAACAATTATTATTTATACTCATAAGGAAATTGAAATAAATGATTACTTCCAAGTATTTTTTTTGAACATTGGATGTAACAAATACTGTAATTCCAAATGCATTTTTTACGATCTAATATGGAATTTTTATTAACATCCCATTTCCAATTTTTCCGTAATTAAGAAGTTTTTTTTATTGTAAATTGTCTATCGCGAAGCTTCTTAGTGATTTAAATGGATTTAGGTTGGTAGGTTGTTGACTGCGCATGCGCACATCAGTCAATCGATAATTTTTGATGTGTGGGTGCTTCTGTCATTTTCAAGGTCTCAGCATTGATTTTATTTAGGTTAAGACAGTTCTCAAATGCTCCACGAGTGGGCAAGTCGGTGTTTGTGTCCGCAAGAAATAAACAAACATGTCACCAAAAGCCAAGTGTAAAGTGAATTCGGATGGTAGTGTTTGTTTGGAAGATATTCTCAATTCCTTTAATTCTTCAATCCGCGAAGAACACGCTTGGGCCCTATGTTACCAATGTGCAAAGTATTACAGCGAGTGTGTTTCATCTCGAAAACAAAACGTTCACATAGTCACAGAAGTCCGTCATGTGTATTTGCAGACTGACGGAAACGTTCACGAAAACACGATTAAACCCAGAGATAGCCCCAGAAAGCTTCTGCGATGCGAGAAAGACGTGATTTCGGGCCTGGGGGTGGTAATATACATAGCCCTCGACCAGGGGAGTCAGAACGATGAGGAGAGGGTTATAAGTCAGGATCTTGAGCAACTTATAAGTGATATGATCTCAGATGAATTGAACAGTTCGGAGCAAACCCATCATGAAACGGATGATGAGGGGATCGAGCGGGACTCGGAGGAGGCCGAAGAGGAGCCCGGGACGTCCAAAACACAGCCCCACATGACTTTACAGGAAGTCATTCGGCGGTGCGAAAACCATTTGGGGACCTTGACCAAAACCCAGACCGAAGCTCACTACAAGGCCGTAGTACGGGCTTTGGTAGCAGAAGCTCTAGAATTAGCAACATTTTTAGAAAAAGTAGCACAAGGCAGTTTGAATTTGCCGACAGATAGCTCAAAACTCTCAAATTTGGACCAGTTGAAGTTCTCTGATTGGGCCAAGTTTTGGGTGCAGGTGATGGGGGAGCTCAGGATGGGCGTGAAGTTAAGGAAGGTTCATTACAGTAGGGCTCCCATCGAATACGAACTCACTCCCTATGAAATACTCATGAAAGATATTAGATCGTGTAGATATAAGTTAAGGAGAATTATGGTTAATGGAGATGTTCCATCTAGGGTTACTAAGGATGCTCATGCTATTATTTTGGAATTTATCAGGTCTAGACCGCCTTTGAAAAAAGTATCTGATAGGAAATTGCCCCCTCAATCGCGCACACTTACTCCAAGGGAACAGTTACTCAACTCGATCAAAAAGGGCCGGAAGTTGAGACCGACTCCAAGGTATTTTTGCTTTTTTTGGATTTAAAAGTGAATTGAAAGTTGATGTAATTATGATGTAATAGAAAAGTTTAATGAGTTTCTCTTTATTACTGTTATTCATTATTTCATCGTGTAATAAAATTAAAAAAATGCTCTAATTTTTTAAGAGGCGTGAAAGGTTGATTTTGGAATTTACGATACATAATCCTGCTATTATATTTTAAACACTTACTTTTATCTCGAGTAACGGTTAATTAAATTAAGGCATGAAATATTCAATTATTACTTATGTACTCGTAGCAGTGTTTCCGATTTAACGCACAACAGGTGTTTTCTTCTTTAAATGCAAAATTGAAAAGAATCGAGGAAATTACTTAATAACAATTCAATGTGTATTACTTTAATTTATAGTATTTCGTCAAAACTATTCGTTTTTATTTACTTCATAATAATTTATTTTTGTTTGGTTTTTATTAAGGAGGCGCGTTATCAATACGGCACGCTTCCAGTGTTGAGTAATACTTATTGGCTTTTAAGTAAATGTAAACACAAAAACAAGTAATTTTGCCATACAAAGTTTCTCTTTAAAACAAATCAAGATTGTTTGTTTTTCTTTTCTTAACCATCTGCATCAAACGCTATGGGAAGCATTCAAAACATGTTTTTTACACTTTTTACAACTAATTATAAATTAGGAGAAAGGATAATTCTTCTTAATCGCAACACACAACCAATGGTAAGGGTGCGCCAGAACTCGCGTCCCAGAGAAAAATACCATATAACGTAAGATACCAGGAACATGGAAAACATGTTATCTATGGAAAAAATTCTATCTATAAAAATTTCGAACTTATGAGAGTTTAAATTTTGCACTTTGACTCTAATTATTTTTGTTGAAAAAATACTTTTCCAAGTTTTTTTGCTACAGGCAATTAGAAGAAGAAACAAGGAAGCTGTATCCTAAATTGTAACTCTGTTCAATGTTATTTGGCAAAATTTTTGTATCTTTACTAAATAATTGTAAAAAAACATATACAAGGTCATCAGTATCATTAAATAGACATAAAAAATGTCAAATGTCAAAAAATATATGTCAAAATTTTTTGACATAGAATTTTTCAAACATTTTTTTTATGTTCTTTGTATCTTACTTGAAATTTTTCTCTGGGGCGCGAGTTCTGGCGCACTCTGTACTGATATATTAAATTAACTTTGAATTTTTATAACACAAGAAAATCCACTCGTCATACAATACAAACTTTACTGTTTTACATATTTGTGCATTTTTTAATATTATTTACATTTTTTTTCCATAAAACCTAGGTGAACAATTATTTCATACAATACTATTTGTTATCATTTATTTTTGTGACGTTATTAATTATTGTTACAGATATCATTCCCAAACCTTATGTTGGTTTGAAACGGCTACAGATTAAATAAATTAATCAATGAAAAATAAAAATAGATGTACTTAGACCGAGCTTTTATCTTTTATCGTATGAAATGAACATGCATAATTTTTTAGTATTCTTTTAGTATGGTTCGAATAAAGCCAAGTATCAGGAAATCCAAATATCAGGATGTTAATTTGAACATTTACATTTTCAATATTGTATTTAATGTCATTTTTTATGTTTCATAATAAATTATGAACATCATTTTATGTCCAATTTAATTAAAAACATTGGTTTATTTATACCATAAGCTCTTATTTACCTATTATTAACTTAACTAATCAATAATGAACCATTTCGGAAAGCTGTCTGTTTCTAATTGTTACAAACAAGTTATCTCACGTGAAAGTCATGATGGGTTTTAGTGATTAATTTCTACAATAGATTTTTCTGTGAATTGTTTATGAAGAAATATTTGTAAATAAAACAATAGTTATTTTTTATAATGTTATGGAACCATTGTTAAATGGTTAAATTTTACTACATCCCTTTATCTGCAACACTGCAATATTGGAGTGGTTTTTAAATTTAATTTTTAAGTAACTACCTACATATTGGTAGATGTAGAGTAGGTGTAGAGATTTTTTTGTGTTCTAGTTTATAAGTTAATCAATCTTCTGCTTTAGAGTAAATAAAGGCGCTTTTTATTTTAATAGGACTACTTTGTAATAAATAATACTCAAAAAAGCCCCCGAATTTCTCAGTTTGAAATAATTATCAGCAAAAACATAGTTGTATGTATTGTCAATATTATAACCAATTATGAAAAAATATCAAGTTTTGATTAAACTGTTTACTTTGTATTCCATTTTCATATTTTTTTTCTTTCAATTTCATAAATTACTTTTTTCTTTTACAAAACCTTATTACATAAACAATGATTTGAATCAATTTCGTAGAAACAGAGATTGCTTTAGATGTACATCATAATATAAGGTGATAATAACTAATTTCAAGTACTATACTACGTGACTGCTTCATATTATAAATTATAACGTACCTACTTTTACTTTAATTTTTATAATATGATATAAGTAAAAATGAAAATTATACTAATATCGGTTACATAAAACTTTTTTAATTTATTTTTTTTTCCTACGACTTTAACAGAAAGTAAGTTTTTCTATCCTAATTTAACCCTCTCAGAGAGGCAAAATTTTATTTCTCTCACAGAAACGGAAAAAAATATGCTGCTAGATTTAATGGCAATACTGGGATATCGAGAGAAATTTTTAATTGTGTATTTTCCTCCGTTGGTAGTTACAGTTGGAGAAAAAATACTTTGGTCGTCAATGTCACTTGAGTGACATTAATTTGTAAAGCATGCTTTAGGACTGTTAACCTTATTTTTAGCTACTGTCAATCATAGTTGACAAGTTGTATGTACATACAGGGTGATTCAGATAAGATAATGAGCCCGACGTTCTGGCGATGCAACCCAAAAAACAAATTTCATTTACGTCTTGATCTAATTTTAATTACGATTTGCATTTGCAATCAAAGTTATCTTATGTTGCTCTGACAGTGCTTTGACAAGCAATTTATGATTTATAAATAAACTGTTTGCCTACCTTTAATGTTTTATTCTTTCATACATTTTGTGTTGGGTTTACATCGAAAAGACTTTTCTAATTTCTCTATCATTCCGCGAGAACTGAATGGCACTAATGTCAGAGTGACATAAGATGATAACTTGGATTCAACTTGCAAATCCTAATTTAAATTGGATCAAAGGCGTAAATGAAATTTGTTTTTGGGTTGCATCGCCAGTTCGTCAGGCTCATTATCTTATCTGAATCGCCCTGTATTTTTGATAGGAAAATATAACAGCTGTCATTAATTTGAAATTGTCATTCATTTTAACGTTAAAGCTTGAATTACATTAAAGTGTCAGAAAAGTGACGACCAAAGTATTTTGTCTCCAACTGTACAATAACTTCCAGGAGGAATCACATTTTCTTTCCTTGTAGTACAATTAACTATTTCACCGATGAAGTAATTAGTAGATAATACGAGTATATCGCTGTCTCGATAAAACAATAACCCAATTGCTTTATCAAATGGTCCTTTTAATTTGGGTTTGTATCATTTAAAACTACGTTCAGTTGCGGAATTAAAATTTTGGGCAGTATTGTCATTTTTACAATGTAAACTCTAAAATAACCTTTACACTAATAACCTCATTTTTTACTCATGTCATGTTTATGTCATTTTGACTTAAAAAATAGCGTCACTGACAGAAAACTTTAATTGTCAAATGTCAGTCATGATGACAGTAAAAGGTAGTTTACAGTGAACATTTTGAAGTGACAGAAAAATACTGCCCGAAATTTTAATTCCGGAACTGTACAACGTGAACCGAAAGTAACGCACAAAATTCATATTTTTGTTATGGGTCATTTTTCAAAAAAATCTTCCAACTGGTCGATTGTATTTTTATAAATGCCACATTTTGATAGTGTTTCATAGTCGTCACCAGGAATATTTGAGATTGACGTATGCAAAGCTTTATTGAGGATTAAGCAGCCTTGCGGTCGGCCGTAATAATTTTTCACTGCTGGTGGTACTAACCTGAAGATATACAAAAGAGCCGTATTCAGGAATTTTCGTGGAGACTTTTAATTTATTACAGGCAAACATTTAGGAATTTATATATTAATTTAGTATTAAAGTTATAATGCAGATTTGTAAAGAAACAATCTCAAAATATAGCTGAATATTAAAATTATTTTTTTTTTTTTGATGAAAGCCCAAAAACAAATTTCTGTTACGGACCATCTCTTCCTACAAACCTTTGAAACGTGCCTGTCCTAAGAAATGCAGATTTGTTTATGGCATCTCTACCGCAAGCCCCATGAACCACCGTGGGGGGTAATCGTCTATAATGAGTCTCAAATATTGTTGGTACCAACTATAACATTTATGACGTTATTGGATTTTGAGTAATCACATCATCGTTAATTTTTTTAAACGGCAACCAACAATTTTGTTGACTGTTTTTGGTAATAGGTCCATTCTTCTATTCTTTTAAAAGAAAATATAACCAAAAACAGTAAACAAAAATATTGGTTGCCATTTAAAAAAAATCGGATGACGTTGTTACTCAAAAATCTTTGACGTTATAAATAATATTTATAATAATGTAAACCACGCTGATATTACAGTCAATTTTTTTTTCATTTGCTGGTGGGGTAGTGTGAATCAAAAACATGACAAAAAAAGACATGTTTTGGACATTTGACAGCTTCTGACATTTTGTACCAAAGTCAAAAATTAAAGCCTCTCACTGGCATTAGGATTTTTATAGGACTTGAATTACGATTGTTATGATGTTATAGAGGGTATAAATATTAGCCTCAAAACAGTTTTCCCCTTTAAAAATTAAATTACAAATGACCTACGTGACCCTAAGACACACTTTTGACGTGTCACTAGCTCTGCGTTACTTTAATCGCATTGTTAAAGTGAGATAAATAGCGCGACCGACCTTACGCAAATACGTAGCGAGAGAGCAACAAGGCTGTTTACAAATGTTGAAAAGAGATAACAATACAACAAAACAAAAAAAAAACAAATACACGTCTTTCGAATTATTAATTGATCCTCACGTATAAATAAAAAAACGGACTTTATTTACAAAAATAAAATCGACCTGTTCGAGGATAAAAAACAATGACCCATAAAATTGTGAATTTTGTGCGCTACTTTTGGTTCACCTTGTATTTACACTTTAGGCTAAAAAAATTTATCCAAGATAAAATATTTTTACCAAAAGGCCACAAATACTAGATCCTAGGCTATGCAAGTCAATGAAAATAAGGAAAACAGAAAAAGAATGGGAAAAAAATAGCGTTTTATTGATTTCAAATTTGTTTACATTGAAAAAAGTTATTACATTTATTTATTACTTTCTGTTCCACTTTTGTATTTTTTTTATTTGAATGTAATTGAACTCTTCTCTGACAAATTTTTGTTACGAGTAATATTGCGACATTGGTGCATACTTACATCTTAGCCCCTAACAAACAAAGCGCGCATCTTTCGCTTCCAGCTTTCAGCTATTTCAAGTTTTTAGGTATCCCTCCACTCTAATAGAGCGTCTTTCTCGGGCGGCAAATTTTGTCAAAGTGAAATGAATATTCGCGTTTCGTCAAAAACTAATTTTTTTTTCAATTTTTTGGTCGCATTCTATTCGTATCATCACAGTACATCTTTCCCCTAGGCGTTTTTTTAAATATTATGAATATTTGTATAAAATTTGAATAAAAAAAAAGTTAAATAATTTTTTTTCAAAAAAGTGTTACGTTGTCGAAAATTCTAAATGTCTTTAAAACTGAATTCAATTTAATAATCTTTCAACCCAAGTTTTTTTAAGACTTAGTAGCTGTACTGGATTAATTTTCTCAAGAGAAAATTTAAACATTAGCCATACACGATAAAACATTACTTATTTTGCAATTGATGAATTATTATCTTAAGGTCGTTTGAGATTTTTGATAGAATCTTTTGAATTTACGACAGTTTTATTTAATTACCGATTATAATCATCATAGCATCGATATTATCAAATTACCCATAATAAACAAACTTGTTTTGATTTTACAGATCTCCATACATGTTATCAGAACCAAAGCAACAAACCAAAGAAGATTCCTCAAAACCAAATCGAAGACTAATCAAAGTCGACTTCAGCCAGTTCGAGGACGAGGACGACGATGAACCCATTGACAGTCCCGACTCGACCGGTCTGTGGTCAACTTCTGAATACCTCCAAATGTGTGATACAACTCTGGAAGCCTACGATCTCGCAACTCAAGACATAAATCGGCGCTCGACCATTCGCAGACACACCCTGGAGGTGTGCGACCCCAACGTGGGATGCTACTCGGTGCCCCAATCCCGGCCTTGCTCCCGCCAGTCCTGCAACAGCTCCGAGGCCGAATCGGTCCAACTTGAGCCCGAAGTGGCCAAAGCGATGCAAGACGAACTCACCAATGCCCGTAGTTGGCAAGAGACCATATCCCTCGACGACAGACTCTCCCTAACCCTCTCCGAAATCGTGCACATACGAGCCGTCTTGACCAAAGCCGAATTGGAGGCTCTACCTGTGGAGGGCAGGGTGCGCCACGACGTAGAGTCACGCAAAGTCTGCTTCTTGTGTCTCAAAACACGGTTCGGGATCTTCGGCCCATGGGGGCAACGGTGCACTCTGTGCAAACGCACAGTTTGTACGAAATGCTGCTCCAAGATGAATATCCCCATGGAGCACTTTTCGAGCGTTCCGGTCGTGTTGCTGAGCCCCAGTATCATGTCTTCGCCGGAGACTGAAGCCAAAGAGGCGTTTTCGAAGGGTCTAGTCAATAAAATGATGGAAGGGGGCCCTCCGTCGGCCGACCATAGCCCCGAAACGAGCAGGCCGAGTTCGAGTATGGAGAGTAGTACAATAAGCGATCCAGGGTCGCTGGGGCGGTTCCGGGCGAAAGCGGTGGCGGCAGGGAGGGCTGCCAGAATGGTGGATAAGTTCAAGGCCTCGCAAATGGTGGTTTGTCACGATTGCAGGATGATGGTCTTGCAGATTATTAAGTCGGCGAGGGCGAATCGTTCGGCTATCAGAAATAAAACGCTACAAAGTCTCACTTTGAATTTATCTCCGGTATTTTAACACTGATATTGAATGGCTATCGAAACTCAGTAGTGATATTAGTTTTAACCTGAATCTTGTTGCATTTCAATGTTATATTCCTATTTCGTGCATTCCTATCTGTAAGTGGAAACTTTTAAATCCAGACCACGGAGTCTTAGAGGAAATTTTATTATATTTAAAAAAAAATAGCGGTTTTATTTTGGTAACTGTAATTTTATGTAAAAATCTATCTTCAGAGTTTAAAATATATGAAATGAATAAAGGCTATGTTAATTGCGGGGATTTCTATTCACCCTTCAAAAACAGGTGATGTCAAAAAAGTTGTTACAAAAGTAGTTTACCACAAATAATTAACAATCAAGCACTTGTTTAATTTTCTGTGAGTAATTTAAAGTCGTGTTTTTTTTTTAATGGAAATCAGCAAGTCAACATTTTGGTGGCAAAAATTTTGTTTGCTTTTTGTTTTTGTCCTTAAAAATTTTGTTAAAAAATTATGCTTACGTTTTGATATTGGAATGTTATCAAAATTTTGACTTTTATGAATCTTGTATCCTTGCTTGCTCTTTGAAAGCCCTTTAATCGACTACTTGAAGACAGACATCACAACCTAATGCCTAAAGACTTCCATGCTAGTAATATTGCATGTTTTAAGTTTTCCTTTAGTTTTAGTTTCAAAATTGTTACTTTTTCAACTCGTTCCTCAAAAAACTAATTTAATTGTGTTCTTTATCATTCATGTTTATTTTTTACTAAAACAAACCTGCATTACAAATTACATCTAAAATACATTTTAACGGTGGTGTTTTTGTGATTTTATGTGCACGCTTTTTGACTTCAAGTTTCGAAAATCTGATAACGGTACCCAATTTATCTCCGTTTTTGTGTTTTCGTCTCCAAATCTTGACCATTTTATTGCTGACGTTTAATGATATTGTTTTCAAATTAAATTAACAAGAAATTAGCAAGAAAGTACCTGTGGTAGTGACGTCACAAACAACAAAATTAAGGAACCTAATTAATAAGTTTATAAAATCAATAAATTATTACAATTGCAATTTCCAGATAAAAGAAGTATTAAAATCTAGTAAAAATAATAATGTCCCAAATGTAGTTTTAAAAATCGTTTTGACAAAATTTAAAATTAAATACAATAAAGAAGAAAAAATCAAAAATTATGTAGACGAACAATCGACAGGAAGTAAAAATTTTAAATTTTATAAAAAAATATTAATCATTTTTTTTAGGGAATTAAAAACGGCCATAAAAATTTGCTAAATAATGGCATTCAAGTGGAAAAATCATCGAAACAATGTATTTACGTAACTTTTTAATCATTATTGTTTTGAACTGGTGTTTTCTGGTTCGGGTCTAAGGGCCGAACCAGAACAACACCAGTTCATCAACTGGCCGCCGCAAGCCTTAACCAATTTATCATTATTGTTTTACTAATAACATTACTTTTAAGAAAAAATACCTAATCAAAAAAGTCATAAAAACAATATAATAATTAATTGTAAATATTATGTGAACGAAAATCATAGTACTTAAACTATATTAGTTTCAATTTCAATTTGTAGTTTTATTTTGAATTTAGTGGAATTGCTTCATTTATTAAAATTATCATGAATATGCGCAAGTGGTGCCAACGTAGTTGGTTCAAAAAAATGGGAGACGAAACACCTTTATTTAGCATTTTAAACAATTTTATTTTTAAGTTATTAATATTACTTCATTCTTCTGCTAACATAAAGAGAATATTATTGTCTTTGATTAATTTAATGAAGACAAACCAAAGAGATAAATTAGGTTTAAGTACAATTTCTCAATACTAAGTTTTATTGGCGAAAAAAAATATCATAATTTTAAAATTGATAAAAGATAAATTCAGTCTATAAACTGCCACACTTTTTACAAAGAGGTCGAAAAAGAATAAGACATGTTATAATTAAATATTTAATTTCGCCTATTTAATAATATTTTATTTTAATAAACTTTACGTATGTACATAATTATGTAGATTTAATTTCGTGTTTATTTTATATTGTTAATGTATCTTGTTTATTATGCATTTATTGTAACTGATTTTGTTTCTAATTATATTATTTTTATTAAATAAAATTTCTGTCCTGTTTTTTCTTTTGTATGTAGCGTTGGAAATATTGTTTTTTTGTGATAGATATTTTCAATTTTAGTAAAAATTTTATTTAACTTATTTTAACGAACAATGTTTCCTTCCTTGACTGAGTCAAAAGAAATTTAACCCAATATTTTAAATCTACCGATTTTTTATGAAATTTACTGAAAAGTCACTAACTGATCTAAGCCGTGCGTCTGGCAACACTGGTGGTGGTTGACGTGACGTTGCACATGCGCATTTTACACATTTGAATGTTTTGTGATATTTAGCATTTTTTTTTTAATATGATGTTTGAAAATGCTTCTTTGAAACGAAAAAGTTCCGAATTAGAGCCAGGAGAAGTCGAAAATGAATCAGACGAACCAGAAGCTAAACATCTTTGTGTTGAAATTGACGTTGAAGCTTCTAACCTAGAAAGCACAAGCCAAAACAACCCAGACACAAATAAAGAACCTGGACTAGAAACAGTTACCGAAAAACTTAAATCAGAGACACTCATTAAAGAAAAATCAGAAACAATAGTTGTGGAAGAAATCTTACAGAAGCAAGAAACAGTTAATGAAGAATCAGAGATACTTCATAAGGAAACTGAATCAGAAACACTCATTCAAGAATCTAAATCGGAAACAATAATTGTAGAAGAAACTGTGCCGAGCCCGTGTAAAAACAATGAAGAACCTAAAACAGAAATCTTCCTTGAAGAAAAATCTGAAACAATAGCGGTAGAAGAAACCGTACTGAGTCCGTGCATAAGCATCACCTTTCACAACGACGTTACTGCAGGCTTATACAAAACGACTTTCCTAAATTTCATCAGTACATTTCCTGAATTACAAGTACGAGTTGAAAATGATCTCGTCTTTGATGTTTACAGAGATGAGAGTATCGCGAGTAGTGAGGTACACAGTGGTACTGACACCACATCAAAAAAACGAAAAAAACATTCAAAAGTGAAGAAAGAGCTGTTTGTGGTTGACGTCAAACCTTCACCTAATGCGAACGGGACGCATTTGAGGTACACGACGAAGTTTGTAATAAACACGGAAGAAGCCGCTGAGGATAACACAAAACCTACTAAAACCTTGTCATGTTTCAATTGCGGAGAGGGTCATAATTTGAAAGATTGTCCGCATCCGCGAGACTCTGCTAAAATAAACGCAGCTAAGCAAAAAATTAAATTCACAACATCGGGGTAAGTGAGAAAATTTCAGTTGGAATTACGTTATAACTGTGGTTTTAGTCGTTATCATGCAGATGAGGGGCAAAAGTATGACCATTTAGCCCCTGGAAAGATTTCAAATGAGTTGAGAAGAGCGTTGGGGCTGTATAGGGATGAGGCCCCCCATTACATTTATTTAATGAGGAGTATGGGATACCCACCTGGTTGGTTGGAAGAGGCCAAAATTGAACATTCCAATCTTGATATGTTTGATATTGACGGAAAAAATGTGAAAAGCAAGGGAAAGAAACACGGTTTAGATGAAAGTAAAATAATTGAGTATCCTGGTTTTAACGTCCCTTTTGAAAATGGGATTGTTGATGTAAGTTAGTGTTTTTTAAGAAAATCAATAGAAATCACGAATATTTTTTGTAGGATTATCACAAGTATGGAGTGGCTCCATACTCGGATGCTTTCAACAAAAAAGCAATGATTGACGTTTTTAATAAACTATATGTGCGACAAGAAGACAATTTGGAGATTTGTGACATGGATTTGGACCATAGTTTTGAGGAAGATCCCAAAATAATGTCGCAACCCGAAAGAAATTCCCCATCATTGATTGATTTAGAACAACAAAAGAAACAATTATTAGAAGAATTAAATGATGAACCTAAGAATGCTGAGAAATCCGCTTTAGACAAAGAATTTTTAGCTGTTAAAGAAAGTTCTTTTGGGACTCCTATATTAAAAAGTGGTTCGCCTTATTCGACACTTCCAGATCCTGATAAGTTTTCAAAAGATGTCAGTCCTGTCATTAATTTTGAAAATTTACCAAACTCGACTGGAAAATATGAGCAATTATCGGATGTTTTACAAAAAGTTAGAGACACTTTAAAAAAGAAGCGAGACACGTAACAATACAGTACAAAATATTTTGTATATGAAATTATATTGTATAAATATGACCTACAATGTGTGCATGGGGCTATGATAGACATGTTTTTATTGTTTCGTCTAGTATATAGTTTAAATACAAATAAACTTTTTACCTCGATTCTTTAGGTTTTTGTTGTCTACAGTGATAATAATTTTCATTTTTTAGCGATGCCGGCCAAACCCAGTGACCATATTGCAGTGTCGCCATCTCAAAACAATTCAATTCACCAAATCGCTCAAAAAAAACGAGTTTCAAAATCGAGCTTAAAAAGCAGAAATAACATAATTTGTGATTTTTTAATTTTCAACAAAATATTTGCGTTTTTATTTGATTTTTCGGTTTGTTTTAGAAAAAAATCGAGCTTTACATTGGAAGACGTGCTCAAAAGGTATGTAAAATAATTACTGTTTTGACCAATTCAAATTTTGAGCAAAAACGTTTGAAACAAACTATTTCAATATATATTTTTGTGATTTTTATATCAATTTTATAATATATGTCAGTCGAATTTTGTTTCTTGACGATTGGGCAATGAAACAAACTAATATTCTATTAAATGTTCGGGAAAATATCTGATTTTTTTTAAATGATTTCAAAAAGTATTCATATTGTGTTCACCGCAGTTACAGCAGATTTCATTTCTAAAATTTTTAGCAGGTATTAGAAAAAAGTTAATTTTATCCCCACATAATAGAATTTTTACAAAAAAAGTTCTCACCACCACCAACAGACTGCATGAAAAACACCAGACCTGGTAATTGGCAACACTGTCGTATAAAGACTTTTGGCGGCGACGTGATATTATTATTATTAATTTTAGTGGGGCTAAAAGGCGTATTTGTTGTTTGTACCCATTGTAGGTAGGATGCCTGATTGTGCAGCTGTTCTAACGCTAAAAAGGGCTTTGTGATGAAGTATTTTCGAAAAGACCTACAACGCTGAAAAGAGTGATTAATGAAGATGAAAAGGGACAATTGGACACCAAATGATCATTCAGTATTATGTGAAGTATACCATATTCCAGTGGTTACAGGCTTATTAACTGTTAATTTTTTTGTAATAAAAAATACATTTATTTTTTATATAATTGGAAGGTGAATTTAGGAAATATTTTGACACACATTTTAAGTGACCAAAATATTTTTTTGCTACTAAATTTAACAAAATATATGTAAGATATCACTTTGCCATAGTTTCAAATGTAAAACTGATAATAATAGAATGTTGCGTTCAGATTAAAGAAAAAAAAGTTTATTACAAAGATTACATGCCAGCAAATGTTTACATAAATAAATATTTGTTGCATTTTTAAACTTTTATTTATTGAATATTGAATATCCCATTCCATTAGAGTTATTAGCGCTTGCATAAAGATAAGGTCACTCATCCAGTTAACTTCGCTTTCATAGGTAAGGATATGAGTTCCTAAATGACAAGGGAAACGTCAAATGAAACTCATTTTTTCCAGTGGCGTAAATTACGAATGTTCAATAGGGGTCACAACACTCGTTTTTAAAATTTGCATTAGCATAGTCATCAAGACAATTTCATGAGATAAAATATCAAACAGACAAGTTGAAATTTTATTTTATATTAAACAGAAACAAAGTTTAACGAATATTTTGAACTGCCCGTCTCATTCCAACACTGCGACTACCACATCGACTGTTTTGAGGTGTTGCAGTTGACCTGTTCGATTCCCTGGTTAGGAAATGAATTCTGGCTTTATAATACATAGTCACCACTTTCATTGCGATATCGTGACGTACCGCAAAGTTTGTTTTATATTTAGATATACTCATGAACGAGTGTAAAATTAACTTTAATTTCGTTTCTCCTTTTAGAATGCAAGACTCAAATTGTCTAAAATATTCTTCTGCTTCCTTTAAAATATCGAAAATTTGGATTGACGCAAATGTAATTTTCCTTGAAAACGCTTTCAATTTTGTTAATTTAATTAAGCCAGAAATTTGAGGATCATCTTCTTGCGTTTTTATGTCGTTAAGGCATGTAGTACATTTAATTTTATTAATTTTGATGACTTGATACACAGTTCTTCCTGCCAAATAGTATAAACTTTGAATTTCGTCATGTCCTGTACTGTAACTAAAATCTAATGTAAGATCTTCAAGGGAAGCTTCATTTTCATCCTCTTCGTGTACTTCGGGATTTTTGTTCAAAAAATTTACCAAATATTCTGCGTCAGATATCTGATAATTACCTTTTCTGTTTGTTCGATTATATTGAGATATCGATATTTGTCTAACTGCCATTTTAAATTCTTTGGCACTTGGTACAGGTTGAATGGACCGAATTACGGAGAAAGAATTTTCTATTGCATCCTGAGTGAATCGTCCCAAACATAGATAATGAAAATTTTCGTGTTTTAAAAAATAATCTGCTAAGTCAATAGCATTTTGTGTTGTCAAAATTATTCCGGTCTGTACAGGTTTCCAAACACATCTTATTCCTATTTTAATATTATATATCAAGTCCTGTATCTCTCTTAAAAAGGCTATATCTTTTGAATATTGAGGGCCGTTTTTTAGAGCAATAGATCTTGTCCGACTTGTAAGCAGTTTGAACCACTTGAATATTTGTTCACAAAACCACGCAGTAGTTAACATCTTATTGTCTAATTTGCCTCGTTCTACATAATATCGTAAACCAGCTGCTGTACCGTGATTAAATAAAGCCACAGCTAAACTTACTCGCATTTTTTCGAAATGAGAGGGCGTTATACAATTTTGTTTTAAATAAGGAGCCACTTTCAAAAGTTCCTGAATGTGTTTTATCGACACGGTATTGTCTGGAAGGTTGTACTTTGTCACAAAATTATCTGGAATTTTGATATCCTGATGATTGGTTAAATGATCTCTTAAATTTTTTAGTATGTGCGGAGGATCTGGACTAAAGTAAAGTTTTCTGTCTGGGTTACAAGGATGAGGACAGTAATTTTGTAATACAGAATATTTTCCAACATGTATTTTAAAAAGTTTCCAAATTGCTTGATTCTGGCCAGACATGTCACTTAAAACACATACACCTTTTAGACCAATATATTCAGCTTCTCGAATTATATTTAAAATATCGTCTTGAACACATTCAGGCCGAAACGAATTTGATGTAAACTGGTAACCGACAATTTGTTTCCACCTCGTAGAAACACCCGCCAACATGTATAATAATCCATGACTCGCATGTTCATCAACTTCGTTACGAGAATTTGGTAATGATGGTTTGCCGAAAACAAGACCGGTACTAGAATCAAATTCATGTTTTGGCGTAATTGCCATTTCATCTAATAACAAAGCGCAGAATTTTTCTTCAGATCTCATCAAGTCACATTTACATTTCAGCATACAGAAAACTTCATTTAATAAACCAGGACAAAATTTAAGATGCTCCATTCTTTTATTTAAAGTGCGAATGGAAGGAAGAGGGTGGCCAAGTTCCCTTAACACCTCGTAACCTGTAGTGCCACAGGCCATTCGCAATTTGAATGATTTTAGAATAGTTTCATTCGACCATTTAACTTTGTGACCTTTTCCTTTTTGAATCAGTTCAAGTTGATCTTTATTAAGGAAACATTTTAGAGAAGACTTTAATTTTTCAGTTTCCTCTTGCAAAAGTTGAATTGTGTTTTCCAGTTCGGAAATTTTTTGTACGTAATCTAAAAAATGTGTTGTGAATATAACATTTTTAAATAATCCTTAAGCACAATTTTTACTATTTACACAAATGTCGTGTTTTTCTAAATCTTGGTCAATACAAACTATAGATTGTTTTGCAGGAAAGTGATGAAGCAGGAAAGGGGATGATGAGTTCAGGGCTGGATAATTATAAAGTTAAAAATAAAGAGATAATTTTAAATATAATATGGTTTACTCAGGCTAGAGGGACAATCTGGAAACTTGAAGTCTGGAACGTTAGAGTCTGCAAAGATTAAATTATTTATTTTTGAAATACTTTATTCACTTAATCCATTAGGTATTATACACTCTATCACTACTTGAATTTAATATTATGATATCAATCTTACCACATTTTCTTGGAAGATGAGTTCTTGGTACTGCATTTGGTAGTAATTTCAGTTTTCCACACTTCGACTTCACAATATCTTTGTCATTAAAATGAATCTAAAAAAACAATTAAGTACTTACCTACCTATTTACTAACAATTATAATAACAATTATGCAGATAGATATGTAATAACCTGACATATGCGCATGTGATGGGTATCTCCCTTGTCCTTACAAATCCTTTGAAGCCACTGACAGCGTTTTCTTTTATTTCTTTCACCTTAAAATTTAAAAACAACGATTTTTGAAACAGTTAGGTGCCTAGTTCACTATTCATAATAATTATAGTTTACAAGGGATTTACCTTCTGGTATATGAAAGAGTTTGAACCCTTTCAAACTACTATTAAGGCACCCTGCCACACAACAGATATATACCATTTTTGTCTTTGTCACAGTTACTACGCAAGCATGAGACGAGTCGACGCCAATGGTAATTTTGACATTGACAAACTCATTTTTCTGGTCTGTCAACTCGTATTTCCTTACCTATGAAAGCGAAGTTAACTGGATGAGTGACCTTACATAAAGAAGTAATTTGGCGCCGACTAGTGACCATTTCTGCAACGAAATGAAAGTTTTTCTTTCACTTGTACAGGTACCTGTATAAACCTGATCAATGTTTGGTGTTCCTACCTACTAAATTTTATTTGTATTGTGATTGAGTTATTTTATTGGTTCCCCTGTTCGTGAATGCTGACAATAAAACATATCCTATATTTTATAACAATCAGTCCTGTCCTACATGACGTGCATTAAATTAAGGTGCAATGGAAATGTTTCATGTGAGTAAACATTTGGCATATTTTTTTTTCTAATTTCGGGATTTTTTTACCCAATAATTCAGTAATTCCAAGTTTAATATTCAGGGCAGTCTTGCATTATTTACTCAATTTGAATTACGAAATGTTTATTATTAAAATCGATGGGTGTAACACCTGTAATTGTTTCTGCAACTAGGCTTCATTAGTTCCTAGGTAAACAATCGTTAATTACATAATTATTCGGTGTTTAATCTAATTACAGTCATAAAGGTGCGAAAATTATTACAATAGTGGAGTAAATTTGATGAGTAAGTACCTTTCTAATTAAGAATATGATCAATTCATTGCATTCTCTGTTGGTTTTGTGTGTTCGTAAATATTTAGGTGTGATTAGAAACGTTTCTGAATTGGGTCTCTGAATAGAACAACATTATATTTGGCACATAATTAGTATGCATGTTTTAATCCTTAAAGATCTTTAATAAATAATAATTAGTTGGCAAATTAAGGTACTTGTAGGTATCTGTTTTAAATTAGTACCAAAAATGCACAATATTAATTATTAAGAATTTTTTTTTATAATTAAATATTTGCACATTTCCAGAGTTTATACAGGGTGCGCCAGAACTGGCGCCCCAAAGAAAATTTTCAAGTAAGCTAAGCTACTAGGAACATGAAAAAAATGTTTAAAAAATTCTATCTGTCAAAAAATTTTGACATTTATTTTTTGACATTTGACATTTTTTTATATCTATTTAATGATACTGATGATCTTGTATATGTTTTTTTACAATTATTTAATAAAGGGACAAAAATTTTGTCAATAAAATCCACAAATAACATTGAACATAGTTCAGCTTCCTTGTTTCTTCTTTTAATAGCCTATAGCAAAAAAACTTGGAAAATTATTTTTCCAACAGAAATAAATAGAGTCAAAGTGCAAACTTTAAACCCTCATAACTTCGAAATTTTTATAAAAAAAATTTTTTAACATTTTTTCCATGTTCCTGGTATCTTACTTACCTTATATGGCATTTTTCTCTGGGGCGCTAGTTCTGGCGCACCCTACATTATCCAAAATAGGCTGGCACAAAGTTTCCTTTTTATTGATTTTGCACATCGGGTCATAAATTTTCATCAATTTACACACAATTTAGAAGTAATTTAAAATCGTGACTGTAATATTATCGTAAACATGTTATCTTGATTTCCTGTGAACCGCAATAATTATAAAACTGTCCCCTTGGGTGTTTACCTAGTTAACAAGTTCTTAATGGGGAATCTCTGTGCCATGCAAACAGCATTGATCATTCCAGAGTTTTGAGATTCAGAGGGTTGAACCTCCACACCAATTCAGTGCTGCGACTCAAATATTCATAGGGTCATTGAATTGCAAAGTATTGCCTGCCCGAATATCAATGGTCTTCCTATTGAAATAGCTTCACGCATTATAAGAGATATTTTATGTTTTTTTCTGTCTAAAGAGGTCATTAAGATCACATTAATGGAAAAAACGCTAAATATAAGGCCTCAAAGTTTTATATGGGTTTCTAATTTCGTTTTCTTTTGAGGCTCTTTCGTGTTTTTTTTATAAAAAAAAGGCGAGGGAGGAACACATTATGTTATGTTGACATTAGCGTTTTGTAAGACGGTAGTGATTGAAAAATTTTCTCATTACGGGTCTGATACTTGCAGGCTTAGAGCGAACGCAGAAACATAGTTTTTCGCAGGATCGGCGCAAGTTTTTTGTGCATCCTTCAGAATTTTTAAGGTATAATGAGATTTGAAATAAAATTGTTTTCAAGAAAGAATTTTTCCACAAACTACCAATACAAAATCGAATTTAAAAATAATATGTTTAATAAAAATTGCAATTAAAAAATGGAAAAACTAAAAAAAACTGTTAAAAAGTGCCTTATAATGTCTTTATTTCAAGTTCTATGTAAAATGCTTTGTGAAATATTGGACAAAATCCACATGCACCTCTTTGAGGGAGTTACATAATATTTTTCGATACATGTTTATATAAAACTTTTATCTTAAAATTGAATATTCTATCACCTGTTTAAATTTGTAACAATAAAAATGGAACACCTGCATATTATTTTTTGTGGTTTTAGTTTTTGTGTATACCTGGGGTGAACAGAACATATGGAAACAAACGTGTCTATTGCCCAAAAAATTATTCGAGTTATCGAAGTTTCGATGTTATTGTATAGGTTGTTTTATTTGAAAATTAACTATTTATTGTATAACATATAGAGGAGTATAAATAAACATGGATTTTTGAAATACAAAAAGAAACTATAATTGCATGTGTGTAGATATAGATTTTATTTATTTGTCTTCAGGGTGTCAGAATTTTTTTTTTATTGAAGATTGATGCATTTTTTTTCGAATAAGCTTTCATAGGCTTTGAATTTTGTGTAAATAGACGGAAAACACGTACTTAGGTGCATACTGCAGGAATTAATCCAGTGCGCATTACGTAGTTTGGAGGAATTCTTTAAAGAGGTTCGAGATACCGAGGGAAAAAATAAATTGATTACTTATAGTAAATGTTCAATCACTTCGACTTATCGGAATTTTGAGATAAAAAAGTTCAATTTATCGAGGTTTCACTGTAGCGTGTTTATATGTCAGAGAGAATACTGTATTTGCCGATCGAACATTCGTGTGTGTGTGTGACCCAAATGTTTTTTCATGTTATTCATGTTTTTATCGGAAAAGGCTTTAAATTTTAAATTTAGGTAACACTAAATTCATTGATAACTTGTTTCAGATCTAGAAGTTTTATTTTTAATCAAAAGTTAAAAATTACAGACAGAAACGTTATAAATTATAGTATATTACATAACGAGCACGGCTAACGCCTCGTGCGCAACTTCTTGCTTGTGCGTTAGACACTTTCCTGCAAGTTTTGTACTCTATTTTTCCTACGATCAAAAATTTTTTTTTTCTTACGAACATATTTTTTTTTCATAACGATCTATTTTTTATAATGGATACAAAAATACGTTGAATAACGATTTATTTTTTATAATGGATACAAAAACAATACATTGAATGAAAAAATACAAAACATTCGAGTGTGAATTGTGCGTTAGATTTCTAACACACAGCGCGAAAACAAATCGCACAGGTTTCTGACCTCGTACGATATTGCCAATTTTCGCGCATATGTAATTGTGCGTTATAATCTAGTTTTGTATATGGTCGTAGGAAAACATCTTTTTTCACTACTAATTGTAAAAGATACTATTATTTAATTAATCGAGGAGTTGGAAAGTTGTTTTTCTCTCCTATAGTAGTCAATAATCATTTTCATTATTGACCAAGGGTAATAATGGATTAGAGGTGGGTAAATACGGATATTGGAGGGTATTACATTGATACAAATATATCTAGAATATTACTCCTATTATTTAAAACTTTTATCATCACAAATACAAACGAAAGTATTTTGAGATGAAATTAATGCAAAATCAAATACAGAAGATTTAAACTTCTTCATTTAAAAACATCAAAATAACCCCACCCCTAATTTTTCGTCTTTGTCAACTTTCAAAAACAACAAATGTTGAAATATTACCGGTAGTAGGGCAAATTTTAACACTTTTTCCCTTTTCTTTGCAGTATCTGTCACTTTATAAATATTTTATACTATGAAGTTAGAAAATTTCTTTAATAGATGTAAATGTAAAAAAGTGATAAACTCATTTACGATAAAAATAAACTACGTAAATAACTCAGCAGGTAATAATAAATTAACAAAAATAGCAACCATTATAGTTGTGAATTACGACATGTTACATCTGAGGCAACATGCCCATTACGTAATATTCTTCACCGTTGTATTTCTGGGTAACAAATGGACTGGTAGTGAAAAAAATATTACATAAAACACGGTAGAGAAGATCTTTCTAGTCTCGCATTTATTATTTATAGCTCTGCTATAAAAATTTCTTCTTTACCTTGTGATATACTATTGCAGTTAGAATCATGAAAACCAAATTAGCGATTAATAAATACATTTATTTCAAGTTCTATTTACTGTTTTTAGTTCTGTTTGATAATATGTTCCTTTCATTAATTAAACGGAACATGACGGAAGTTTTCCACACTTTGATCTTAAATGATTGTGATTATCCGCATTTGTAGGAAATATTAATCTCAACATTGTGATCGTATTCTATTCTAAGCAAGCACAGCGTGATGTATGTCGACAATAATGAGCTCTGGATTCAATAGGACGCATTACCATTCACTAAAATGCTGATCCTCCAATACTGGAGGCATTTTGGTGGCCCTCCCCCTCGCCCCGATTAAATATGTGTGACTATGTTTACAATTTAATTAAACAATAGTTTCAACCTATTGTATTCAAACTTATGTATTACAAAGGCATGTCAATTGCTGTTTGTTTACTTTGAACTGGAAACTTCTTAAAGATTAAAACGTGCTGGAATTTTATAGTGAATGAAAGGGGATACAGATCTGGCCAAGGGTTTAATTTTCTCCGGTCGATAATGCACCAAGGGCGAGAGTTGCAAATGAAATGTCTTTAGTTAGTAGAATTTATTCGTTTTATTTTGAGCGCATATACGGGATTCATTGTAGGTGTGAAGTTGGTAGACGTCGTTTTAATCTTGTTACAGAGGGATAATTAACGATATAATTAAAAGTAACGCGTATAATTACAAGCTTCACTTCAAACACAGATAATTTCATTT